AGAAGACATCAGCAAGGTCTTCAGTCACACAAGGCTGAATATTCTCTATCCCAAGCGTACAACTGCTCATGCCACAGATATTAGCAGGGCAGCAAATAAATGGGAGTTCAGTAAGTTGTACATGTTTTTCTTACTTTTTAACAAGTATCAGTTCATCATCGCATATCCTTTCTTGAACCACCTCCTCAGCTTGGCCCACTAAAGAGGGATCAAAACTCTCATCTCCTTCCAAGTTTGCAAGAGTTGAACAGATAGTTGCTATAAACAAAAACAGGTAAAAATCATCAGAATAGGTTTCTCAGTCCAAGACACCCTTTTCTGATTTACGGACTTTTAACACTTCAACAAAATTACATTTGTATAGCGCCTTTCATGTCGGGAGGACGTCAGAATCACTAGGAAAATTCCAGCTGATTCCGAATGCCAACCTTTCAAAATTGAATGACATTAATATTGGACATTAAACTCGATAGCTTGTCACTCCAAGGGTAAAGAGCTGAGCAATAAGTTATCCGGAGTAGCGAGTTTGATAAAGGTCCTCCCAGCTGCTCCGTGGCTTTTGGCCCTATCCTGTCACACGATAAGATGTAAGACAGCGTAGCAGGCCTCTGCAACGCATCTGAGCATAGGCACCCAACCTCCGCTACCAATCACAGCATCGGGCTGGAGGCCTTTGTAATGCAAGATGCCATATTACAGAACGAGTTATCAGATCAATTTTCGACTAAGAAGATAGCGAATAAGCTATTTTCTGCTCGCTGGATTCAAACAATCTGAGTCAGTCATAGTGGCTATCACTAGCCATTATGAATGTCAGCACAGACAGAGGCTACTCAGTGCACCATTGATCCGCGCTAGGAGTTGGGCCCACAGAATAAAATTAATGTTTTTGGTTTTGGGCCTCGTCCAACCAGGTCGGAATTCCGGATAACTGGAGTCCAATAAGGCAGGGGATCACTAGTTTGAAAGTATGTATAATTCAAAACAGTAACCTAGTAAAAAAAATTGCTGCACTTACCTCCACTGGCCTTAACAATTCGTCTGAGGTCTTTCTTCAGACAACGGCGTAATGCCCTGCAGGGACCTGCGCTGCAGGGACCTGCGCTGCAGGGACCTGCCCTACATCCTCCCATCACAGCATCAAGCTAATTCTAAATATATCCAATATATCAAGCAGGAAGTACATCATCCAACCCCAGGAACTCTAAATTTAGAGTAGAGTTCCAACAGATATCTACGATTATCATAGATATACCTTTGGTCACTGGAAAAAAGTTCCCACTTTATTTCCTAAAACTAGTTTGTCCTAAAAATATAATAAATTTGAACTTGTAAAAAATATATAGGGATGGAAATGTTTTCATACCATAAATAATCGCCCAAATAATTGTTGCATTTGATATAGTGGTTAGAACACTGAAACATCTCAAAGCACTTCACATATAATTGCTGTCAAATGTAATGACTGTATATTTGTAAATAGTTGCAACATCCTTCTGACACAGAGACAAGATTGCTACCAACTGAGCTCAGTTGACAAATAATAAATAGAGGCCAGAAATGTTTTTAAGTTTTGGTACAGAATTCTTTGAAAGTAAAGTAACTATTGTAATTACTTTACAGGAATAAAGCTACTCCTGAGAGTTTAAATAATTATAATATTCCTTGCATTTGATATCATGCCTTTCATGTCGGGAGGTTGTCACAAAGCGTTTCACAGGATTTATTTTAAAGTATAGTGACTGAACTGAGATCTCGAGAGCAGCTGGCAGTCAAATGACAAAGAATGGAAAACAGGTATTTAAAAACCAAAGTCAGATGATGCTCTAACGGCCCACTGGGTAAAAGTACCAACTGCCGTAGCATTAAACCTTGCATTTGATATAGTGCATTTAATATAGAATCTCAGGAATGTCACAAGTTTGATCTCAATAAGAACTACTCCGAGATGCAATACCATGCGAAGGCTGCTATGTAAATGCAGGTTGTTGTTGTTGCTTTGGGTTATTATGACTGGTCTCAGAGTCCCTGGCTTGGGAGAGTTCATGCTTCTGACTGACTCTCTTGCCCCATTGGAACCTGAGCATGGTCACAAGATGTCAGGTAATTTTAGGGTCAGCCTTATCACAAGATTGGTCTGGATTGACAACAATCACTCTCGCTCTCAAGGCTCACTCACAAAGAATGAGCACTAATGGAGATGGAGGAAGGTAACTGGTGCCTATAGAACTGTAACCCAGCAAAGGATCACCTGAAAACAACAAAACAACAACAACAAGATAGCATTTATAGAGCGCCATTCAGCGCCTTGCAGGGACCGGCCCTTGCAGGGACCGGCCCTTGCAGGGACCGGCCCTTGCAGGGACCGGCCCTTGCAGGGACCGGCCCTTGCAGGGACCGGCCCTTGCAGGGACCGGCCCTTGCAGGGACCGGCCCTTGCAGGGACCGGCCCTTGCAGGGACCGGCCCTTGCAAATCATTTGCTCCTCGCAGAATGATTGATGCAGAAGTACGGGCCTTTGTACTGAAAAATACAAATTAAACTTTACAACAATAGTACTTGTGAGGGTTGGGTTAAACTCATTTTAAAATGTCAGCATCAATTTATACCTCACTTTTAGAAATCAGAATCTAGATCCCTTTTTCAATCACAAACATTGTGTGCACTGCTCCTGAATGAACAATACCTATTGCTTATATACTGTTATGCAAAGCAATATTCATTGCCGACTTAAACCAGGAATAGATGTGACAGTTCTACTTTCATCAGCAAACTGCTTAGATTATATTTATATGCACAACAAAATTAATCTGCATCTGTGCAGTCAATATAAAAAAAATTCAACCCCATTACAATCCCAACACCTTTTTCAATTCTGCAACACTAACAGTAACATTACAAGATACTACACTGTATACATTGGAGATAATTTTTTATGTTCAGCTAATGCATTACTGAGAAGACATCAGCAAGGTCTTCAGTCACACAAGGCTGAATATTCTCTATCCCAAGCGTACAACTGCTCATGCCACAGATATTAGCAGGGCAGCAAATAAATGGGAGTTCAGTAAGTTGTACATGTTTTTCTTACTTTTTAACAAGTATCAGTTCATCATCGCATATCCTTTCTTGAACCACCTCCTCAGCTTGGCCCACTAAAGAGGGATCAAAACTCTCATCTCCTTCCAAGTTTGCAAGAGTTGAACAGATAGTTGCTATAAACAAAAACAGGTAAAAATCATCAGAATAGGTTTCTCAGTCCAAGACACCCTTTTCTGATTTACGGACTTTTAACACTTCAACAAAATTACATTTGTATAGCGCCTTTCATGTCGGGAGGACGTCAGAATCACTAGGAAAATTCCAGCTGATTCCGAATGCCAACCTTTCAAAATTGAATGACATTAATATTGGACATTAAACTCGATAGCTTGTCACTCCAAGGGTAAAGAGCTGAGCAATAAGTTATCCGGAGTAGCGAGTTTGATAAAGGTCCTCCCAGCTGCTCCGTGGCTTTTGGCCCTATCCTGTCACACGATAAGATGTAAGACAGCGTAGCAGGCCTCTGCAACGCATCTGAGCATAGGCACCCAACCTCCGCTACCAATCACAGCATCGGGCTGGAGGCCTTTGTAATGCAAGATGCCATATTACAGAACGAGTTATCAGATCAATTTTCGACTAAGAAGATAGCGAATAAGCTATTTTCTGCTCGCTGGATTCAAACAATCTGAGTCAGTCATAGTGGCTATCACTAGCCATTATGAATGTCAGCACAGACAGAGGCTACTCAGTGCACCATTGATCCGCGCTAGGAGTTGGGCCCACAGAATAAAATTAATGTTTTTGGTTTTGGGCCTCGTCCAACCAGGTCGGAATTCCGGATAACTGGAGTCCAATAAGGCAGGGGATCACTAGTTTGAAAGTATGTATAATTCAAAACAGTAACCTAGTAAAAAAAATTGCTGCACTTACCTCCACTGGCCTTAACAATTCGTCTGAGGTCTTTCTTCAGACAACGGCGTAATGCCCTGCAGGGACCTGCGCTGCAGGGACCTGCGCTGCAGGGACCTGCCCTACATCCTCCCATCACAGCATCAAGCTAATTCTAAATATATCCAATATATCAAGCAGGAAGTACATCATCCAACCCCAGGAACTCTAAATTTAGAGTAGAGTTCCAACAGATATCTACGATTATCATAGATATACCTTTGGTCACTGGAAAAAAGTTCCCACTTTATTTCCTAAAACTAGTTTGTCCTAAAAATATAATAAATTTGAACTTGTAAAAAATATATAGGGATGGAAATGTTTTCATACCATAAATAATCGCCCAAATAATTGTTGCATTTGATATAGTGGTTAGAACACTGAAACATCTCAAAGCACTTCACATATAATTGCTGTCAAATGTAATGACTGTATATTTGTAAATAGTTGCAACATCCTTCTGACACAGAGACAAGATTGCTACCAACTGAGCTCAGTTGACAAATAATAAATAGAGGCCAGAAATGTTTTTAAGTTTTGGTACAGAATTCTTTGAAAGTAAAGTAACTATTGTAATTACTTTACAGGAATAAAGCTACTCCTGAGAGTTTAAATAATTATAATATTCCTTGCATTTGATATCATGCCTTTCATGTCGGGAGGTTGTCACAAAGCGTTTCACAGGATTTATTTTAAAGTATAGTGACTGAACTGAGATCTCGAGAGCAGCTGGCAGTCAAATGACAAAGAATGGAAAACAGGTATTTAAAAACCAAAGTCAGATGATGCTCTAACGGCCCACTGGGTAAAAGTACCAACTGCCGTAGCATTAAACCTTGCATTTGATATAGTGCATTTAATATAGAATCTCAGGAATGTCACAAGTTTGATCTCAATAAGAACTACTCCGAGATGCAATACCATGCGAAGGCTGCTATGTAAATGCAGGTTGTTGTTGTTGCTTTGGGTTATTATGACTGGTCTCAGAGTCCCTGGCTTGGGAGAGTTCATGCTTCTGACTGACTCTCTTGCCCCATTGGAACCTGAGCATGGTCACAAGATGTCAGGTAATTTTAGGGTCAGCCTTATCACAAGATTGGTCTGGATTGACAACAATCACTCTCGCTCTCAAGGCTCACTCACAAAGAATGAGCACTAATGGAGATGGAGGAAGGTAACTGGTGCCTATAGAACTGTAACCCAGCAAAGGATCACCTGAAAACAACAAAACAACAACAACAAGATAGCATTTATAGAGCGCCATTCAGCGCCTTGCAGGGACCGGCCCTTGCAGGGACCGGCCCTTGCAGGGACCGGCCCTTGCAGGGACCGGCCCTTGCAAATCATTTGCTCCTCGCAGAATGATTGATGCAGAAGTACGGGCCTTTGTACTGAAAAATACAAATTAAACTTTACAACAATAGTACTTGTGAGGGTTGGGTTAAACTCATTTTAAAATGTCAGCATCAATTTATACCTCACTTTTAGAAATCAGAATCTAGATCCCTTTTTCAATCACAAACATTGTGTGCACTGCTCCTGAATGAACAATACCTATTGCTTATATACTGTTATGCAAAGCAATATTCATTGCCGACTTAAACCAGGAATAGATGTGACAGTTCTACTTTCATCAGCAAACTGCTTAGATTATATTTATATGCACAACAAAATTAATCTGCATCTGTGCAGTCAATATAAAAAAAATTCAACCCCATTACAATCCCAACACCTTTTTCAATTCTGCAACACTAACAGTAACATTACAAGATACTACACTGTATACATTGGAGATAATTTTTTATGTTCAGCTAATGCATTACTGAGAAGACATCAGCAAGGTCTTCAGTCACACAAGGCTGAATATTCTCTATCCCAAGCGTACAACTGCTCATGCCACAGATATTAGCAGGGCAGCAAATAAATGGGAGTTCAGTAAGTTGTACATGTTTTTCTTACTTTTTAACAAGTATCAGTTCATCATCGCATATCCTTTCTTGAACCACCTCCTCAGCTTGGCCCACTAAAGAGGGATCAAAACTCTCATCTCCTTCCAAGTTTGCAAGAGTTGAACAGATAGTTGCTATAAACAAAAACAGGTAAAAATCATCAGAATAGGTTTCTCAGTCCAAGACACCCTTTTCTGATTTACGGACTTTTAACACTTCAACAAAATTACATTTGTATAGCGCCTTTCATGTCGGGAGGACGTCAGAATCACTAGGAAAATTCCAGCTGATTCCGAATGCCAACCTTTCAAAATTGAATGACATTAATATTGGACATTAAACTCGATAGCTTGTCACTCCAAGGGTAAAGAGCTGAGCAATAAGTTATCCGGAGTAGCGAGTTTGATAAAGGTCCTCCCAGCTGCTCCGTGGCTTTTGGCCCTATCCTGTCACACGATAAGATGTAAGACAGCGTAGCAGGCCTCTGCAACGCATCTGAGCATAGGCACCCAACCTCCGCTACCAATCACAGCATCGGGCTGGAGGCCTTTGTAATGCAAGATGCCATATTACAGAACGAGTTATCAGATCAATTTTCGACTAAGAAGATAGCGAATAAGCTATTTTCTGCTCGCTGGATTCAAACAATCTGAGTCAGTCATAGTGGCTATCACTAGCCATTATGAATGTCAGCACAGACAGAGGCTACTCAGTGCACCATTGATCCGCGCTAGGAGTTGGGCCCACAGAATAAAATTAATGTTTTTGGTTTTGGGCCTCGTCCAACCAGGTCGGAATTCCGGATAACTGGAGTCCAATAAGGCAGGGGATCACTAGTTTGAAAGTATATATAATTCAAAACAGTAACCTAGTAAAAAAAATTGCTGCACTTACCTCCACTGGCCTTAACAATTCGTCTGAGGTCTTTCTTCAGACAACGGCGTAATGCCCTGCAGGGACCTGCGCTGCAGGGACCTGCGCTGCAGGGACCTGCCCTACATCCTCCCATCACAGCATCAAGCTAATTCTAAATATATCCAATATATCAAGCAGGAAGTACATCATCCAACCCCAGGAACTCTAAATTTAGAGTAGAGTTCCAACAGATATCTACGATTATCATAGATATACCTTTGGTCACTGGAAAGAGTTCCCACTTTATTTCCTAAAACTAGTTTGTCCTAAAAATATAATAAATTTGAACTTGTAAAAAATATATAGGGATGGAAATGTTTTCATACCATAAATAATCGCCCAAATAATTGTTGCATTTGATATAGTGGTTAGAACACTGAAACATCTCAAAGCACTTCACATATAATTGCTGTCAAATGTAATGACTGTATATTTGTAAATAGTTGCAACATCTTTCTGACACAGAGACAAGATTGCTACCAACTGAGCTCAGCTGACAAATAATAAATATTATTATTAATAATAATAATGCCTGCCCTGCCGGGGCCTGCCCTGCCGGGACCTGCCCTGTTTCAGTGGCCTGCAGAGTTCGGCGATGTTACGGAGGTGAGGGAAGGCAGAGCGGGTCATGGCTTGAATGTGGGGAAGAAGAGAGTTGAGGGTCGAACAAGACACCCAGGTTCCTGACTGGCTGGTGAGTTGTAGTGTGCAACCATGGAGGTTGATGCTGCCAGAGCCTGAGGTGCTGAGGTGCTGGCGCGAACCAATCAGGAGGGCCTCAGTCTTGTTCACATTCAACTGTAGGAAATTTACCCTCATCCAGGACTTGATGTTCGACAGACAGTCTGTCAGGACAGCAGTGGTCCTGGAGTTGAGGGTGGAGGCAGAAAGATAGAGTTGGGTGTCATCCGCATACACGTGGAAGTTGACCCCATGTCTGCGGATGATGTCACCAAGGGGGAGCATGTTGATATTTAAGAGGAGAGGGCCAAGGACAGAGCCCTGGGGGACGCCAGACGTGACAGTGCGGGGGCTGGAGGAGAAACCGTTAGAGGCAACAAAGACATGTTCAGACGAAGAAGGTCCTTCAGCCCATTTGATCTCACCCTTTCAGAATACTCACCTGACTGTTTTCCATTCACTTTACAGTATGATTGTGAAGTGCTTTGATACGTCTCAATGACGTAATAAGGCTCTATATCAAATGGAAGGATTATTATTATTTAGGTACAGACAACGATAATCCTTGCATTTGATACAGCACCTGATCATGTCTTCTCGATGCCTGAAAGCGCTTCACAGAACGTGCTGCAAAGCCAATCGAACCGATATTTCGCGGGCGAAATGAAACCCGGCAGCCCTCGGCGCGCAGCGAGCGGCGGCTCTCGAAGCGACCGAATTATCGTCGCCGACGTCCTCGAAGGGACCACTCGACGAGCACCTGGGCAGCCCAAATCCACCCCCGGAACGAGAAAAAAAAAAGACCCGCGCTCGCTCGTCGACCGAGAAAGGCGTTCGGTGCGAGACGAGCGCAGCCTGTGGGGTTGTCCTTTTTTTTTCGGTGGGTGGGTGGGTGGGGGTGACTCAGAAATTGCAAATTTCTCCCCCCCCCCACCACCCCACAAAAAAAAAGGGACTGTGATGACCTGGCCTGAGCCGGCTACCTGCCACTTTGGCTGCAGATGGGAAGCAGGTGGAGAGGGCAGTGTTGGGGGGTTGGGCTGCAGTTGGAGCTGTGAGTGGTTGGGTTTGGGGTTGGGTTTGGGGGTGGAGGCGGCGGCTCTACACACACAGCGCAGCAGCAGCAGCAGAAGGCGCAGCCACCACAGCCCGCAATGGCAGCGGAGTCTCGCAGCGGAGAGCCGGGCGTGTTGCTGGAGGAGCTCCTGGCCATGGCCGCGGCCGGCGGCGTGTGGGCAGCCCTGTCCCTGGGAGTCCTGGTGGCTCTGGCCACTTGGGGCTGGTTCAAGGCGAGCAGGAAGGGCAGCGGCCCGAGCAGCCCCGACCTTCCCAGCCAGAGCGGCGCTGCGGCCACGGTCACCGCAGGTCAGGGATGGGATGGGAGGGGGGGGGTTTCGGGGGGTGTCAGCGGGTTTTACTGGTGAAACCTAATTTAAAAAAAATCAATTGGGTTTGTCTGGTTTTTGTTTGGCTGACTTTTCTCAGGGGTTGGGTGGGTGGTGTGGGGGGTGGCGGTCGGTACCGATAATCCCTGATAATAATAATAATATTGTTATCAATAAATTGAATGTTAATAATAATTCGGTCACTTGGATTTCTTCGGCCGCTGTTTGTGGGACGCTGCTGCGCGAGCCACTGGCCGCCGTGTTTCGCCCCCTCAAAGTACGCGGTCAGCTCACGCGACGGTGCGTTCTGTGAGGCGCTTCGAGACGGCTTAATGATGTGATGTCAAATGCAAGAATTATTATTATTATTATTATTAATATCATTATTGGGGCTGTGCTCCCACTTGTCCTGAAGTAACCTTTCCCTCCACACCGCCAATGTTTCAATTGAATTCAAGAATCAATTAGTTCTTTTATTTGTAGAACACATTTTTTATGCGACTGTGCTTGTTCAGCTCCTGTCACGTCGGGAGGACTTTTATTTGCACCACAAATGTCTAATTTTATCTGGTTGTTTCCTACAGCCTTCTTTTAAGTTTTTTTTGTGACCAGGTATGTATATTGTACAATTTGGAGTTATTCTCAAGGTTTGGTGTTTAAAAACTAATCTGAACGAAGTGATTCTTCAATCAGATTGCTCAAGGGTGCCATTGAATGAATTGGCAATGTGTATCCTGCTTTGTTACAATTTAGCCTACAATTTCTATACAGAAAGTTCAGTGATTTTACTGATACGAGAATATATCTCCCTCTCATCAAATGTTCTTCAGAATATTTGGGTTGATCTGGAGCTCTTTGAATTGCCCCCCAATTGAGCCCAAAGTTTACTCTTAATTTCTGCATTTTGGGCACTGTTAATAGTGTGATCTAGATATGTAAGAGTACAAATTGAGCAAAGCCTGAATCCCGATTGAACTTTGAGATTACCTTGCATACACAGCATGCACTTTTCCAGTTATCAGTAACCTTTTGGTATTTTGGGCTGTTTTTCTGCGATGGAAAGTTGGAAACCTTTACATTGACGTGAAAAGGTGCCACATCAAATGTTGTTATTATTGGCAGTTGCACATTGTTTTATTTAGAATTGTAAGTGCTGCCCTAATGGCTTCACCTTGGGTTTAGATGAACTGACTATTGTACAGTATTTTGCTCCCAAGTTTCCAGAAGGTCATGTCCTGCACTGGAAGGGATTACATTATCTGCACATGTTGAACTGATCTATGTTTAGTTAATGATTGAGGATTTGTACATCTGATTCACAACTGCAGTGGAGTGGGTGGGGGGCAGTCAAACCAAAGTAAGCCCTAAGGTAGATCTTGCTGCCAAGAAAATAACAGCTGTGTCTCCATTTCCACTGAAGAGAATTGTGGTGAAATTTCTCGCAACTTCATTTTTCTGTAGTCTAATCATTTTTGGCAATTTAAAAAAATTAAGTTACATCTTATTTTTATAGTTTGCTTAAGTATCCTGGGAATAGAGTTCCATTCCAGTCCACGTAAATGGATTTTCAGAGTAATTTGGAAATGACTAGCTGTAGTTTATCCTTGTTCAGGCAGTGGTCACAATGTTTCCATCTGCTAACAATTTGACAGAACAAAGCAAAATTTGAGAATTTAAAAATTCATTCTATTTCCTACAGATGAAAAAGGGGGTGATCTAACCAAAGTGAATGAACTGGGAGCCAGTGTACCAGAGTCTCCAGTCAAAGCTGTTTCTTCATGTCTGGATGATATTTCGGACATCCGTGAAATAACTGGGAATTGCAGTGACAATCTTGTTCCTGTAATATCCAATGAGGACCTGTGCGATAGTGAACAGGTTTGTATCCCTCTGTCTGAAGATGATCCGAAGCAGTCTCAGCCTTTCAAGAATTTTATGACCAACTCATCCAGTATTGGGAAAGATCCTAACCATTGCATTGGAACCACTGAACAGAATTCTAAGGAAGAAGGGAATTATGAAAACAAAAATCAAACTGAACATTGTCAAAAGCTACATGAGTGTTCTGTTTTAAAGGATGAAGATTTAGACCATAAATATCAGTCTGAATCAGGATGTCTAAGTAATGAAACGTTCGATATTGATAACAGCAACGATAACAATTCTGACCTACCTAAAGAGCCTACACTTCTAACTGAAATGACTAAAGATGATGAAGAATGGGAAATCTTAGAAGAGCCGAACACCTTGGAGGTGGAAACCAAAGTAAGCCCTGAGATAGATCATGCTGCCAAGAAAATAGCAGCTGTGTCTCCATTGCCACTGAAGATCATTGTGGTGAAATTTCAAGTACACTACGTGACTGAATTGGAATCTCAAATTCTTGCAGTGATGGGAAACCATGAGCATTTGGGTCAGTGGGAAAATTATGTGCCCCTGAAACCAGGCAAGGATGGCTTCTGGTCTGGTTCTGTTCTGCTCCCAATGAATTCCAAGATTGAGTGGAAGTTTGTTATGGTGGAAAATGGAAAAGTCAGGCGATGGGAGGAATGCTTGAACAGATGTCTGGAGACTAGCCATGAAGATATAGCTGTACATCGTTGTTGGGGTTTCCAATAAATAAATAGGGTCTGACTGGCAGAATATAGCTGCACCAATCTATCACTAAAACTTGATGTGTACTCTACTACAGTGTTCAGTTTATGTTTATGGACTGATTCTACTCAAAAGGGGAACTAAACTAATAGTAAAATGACTTCAATTTATGGCGTATTTCGCCCTTGTGGGTTGTTGGGACTCTATCCTCTGTCTTACTAAAGACTGGAGCCAAGTATCTCTTCAAAAATAACACAGGAGTAGCAATCCTCTCCTCCCAGAAGTTGCCCATGGTATCACAGAAAGCACAGAATGTACTGTATCAGAGCTGAGAAATTTCTTCCCAATATCCTTTTGCAAGTGGCAAATAATGAATTATTACATCGACACTTTTTTTAATCCCGGATTAGTGAATCTGAGTAGAATGGGTGCAAAATGGTTTTAATATAAATCTCATTTTGGATTTGAATGTATGACATTTGCTGTCATTGGTGTTCCAATAACTTAGAAGTGTTTCCAATTCTGGTTTAATTGAGGGAGTACAAAGATAGACCTACTATTGATTTCTTACTCCCAAGCTGTCCAAGTCTTATTTAATCTATTCAAACGAGATTCGTTCCCACAGTGCAGGTTGGGAAGAGTTTCCAGGCAATACCATCTTGTGATGTGGTTTTGTAATCTACTGGTGCCTTAAAACTTATCAATTTAATTGTCTGTCTCTAGTTTGAACGTGCTGTCACAAACGAATGTATTAAAGCACTTTAATTTTGTACAGAACACATCATACTTGGGAGTTAGCTCACCCTCCTTTGCACTGGTGGTGGTTCAGTAAAATTGTGGCGAATTTGAAGCCTTCTTCAAATTTTAACAGTTCATTATGACCAACTATTTTAAGTAGCTTATTTTTTTAAAAAAAATAGGTCACTCTATAAATCCAGAATGGTAGACTTCGAAGCAAGTACTACAGCAAGCAAATCATCTTCCACTAAGTAAATGATCAGGACTTGTTTTCTGACTGGCCAATTATCTCCAGAATGGTTAATAGCTAACTGAAGGATGGGGACGAATACCAGATTATTGCTTCTGATCTGAACAAATATGCAACCAGCATATTGTCTCAATGAAACCAAATAGAAATCTTTTGGAGATTATTTTTTTCCCTCCCACCACTTCTGTTACAAAAGTGATTATTCTAATTTCAAATGACTATCTTCAAAATGGAAACCTGTATAAAATATGAATATCCTATTTGGAATCTTCAGTAGCAAATACTGGATGACGTTTCTATATTGACTCATTAACCACCCATTTGAACTATTATAGTTTTGAACACGTTTGTAGGGATAAGCGGGGTCTCCTTGGAGTTGAACTGGCTCCAAGGTGATGTGCCTGGCGAATTGAGCCAGGCCTCTGTGGCAGTCTCTGTAGTCCGATTCTGGAGCCAGGAAGATCTGCAGTATTCCAGGGCACTGCTAATGACGGCACAGCCAGCCTGGTTCATTGGCAGGATCTGGAAGGGCAGACCAGTCACTGGGGGTAGAGAGCCATCCACTCAGCTCCTGATAATCCTACAAGCCAAAGCCCTAATGGGTAGGTTGGTATTAGATGGACAAACAGCAGGAAAGCTTGCCGGACAGCAATATCAATGGCAGGCTTTGCAGTTTTAGCTGGTTAGACTCCCAACAGCCCAATGTACACTGGAGTCCCCAAGCATTAGCTCTTGTCAACCTGAACCTAATTCTTTCTGGAATTAGGTAAGCAGGATGTATTCCTCTAGGGAGAGAGTGTGCATTTCAACAATGTATCCCAGGGATTTCCATGTGTAGGTGGGATGCATGGAATTCTCAGTTTGGTTTGGATACTCTTAAGCACGGTAATGGGTTTCCACGTGTGTCAGACACCCACCCCCAACAAATCACAGGGACTATATTGCAGCAGCAGCAGATTTTATTGACGCTTTGCACCAAGAGTCCAACATCATGCACAGTAAGTGGGGGGGGGGGGGAGGAGAGAAAGCGGGAGGAAACAAACTTGCACTTCACTTCTTCAGCATTTTTTCTCTGTCTTTTACTCTCTTTATCCTCTTTTCCTGACTTCTGATCATGGAGGACATTTCTGTAAAAGCCCAAGATTTAAAATAAAAAGCATTCTGTAGCTATGAGTTGATGTTTTAAAGTTGTCCCATGTATTACAAATTTAAATAAAATTTGAATGTTGTTAAACCACAAGTTAATGTTTTTAAGGCTTAAAATGTGTTACTGTACCATGATTCTTCAGCTGAAGATCTTCCACTAGATTCTGCAGGCCATCCAGTTTACTCTGCAGTTTCTTACAGGTATGTCCTGTAACTCCCACCTGGTTCGGAGCTGACAGCAGAAATAACCAATTAGCAATTCTTTTCTCAAGTCTCTTCCTCTCTCCCCTCCTCCATAGTAATATTGCAGTTGGTAACCCATTCAAATTTGTACTTCTTTATAGCTGCATCCTTCTGGAGCACTTGATTAAAGGTTATTAAGGGGCACGACAGAATAGATAATGGGAGACTTTTTTTCCTGGTTGGAGAAACTATAACCGGGGGTCACAGTCTTTTGCACTGAGTTGAGAAAAAACTTCTTCACTCAGCGGGTAGTGAATTTATGGTATTCTCTACCCCAAAGGGCTGTAGGTGCTGAGTCCTTGAACATATTCAAGACTGAGATTGATAGATTTCTTGTGGATTAAAGGATATGGGGATAAGGCGGGTAGGTGGAGTTAGAATAGATCAGCCATGATTTTATTGAATGGTGGGGCAGGCTCGAGATGCCGAATAGCCTACTCCTAATTCTTACGTTCTTTATGTTACACGGTTGGAGGTGAAGCAGAAACTGAGAAATAACACTCTAAATTTACATTAAAGTAATTCATTTGGCTTAATTTTTTAACTGACTGAGGTCGTTTGTGTACTAGAAAATATCTAACCAATTTAATAAGTGGCTTACAGATCAAGTGGTAATGGCATCTTTTGTTTTGAAGCAAAACCAAATGATTTTATGAAATCAAGTGCTTGAGCTATTGGGATACAGTTTTCTGGATCCAAAAACATGTGAAGACAGCTTTTGTCTTGACAGCTGTGCGAAGAGGGATGAAGTGAGATGCACATTCAGAAGGTGGCATGTAGACAGTTTCAAGCCTAACTACTTTGTACTAAGTATGAGTTTAGTATGTGGAAGACTGCAATGGGCAATAATATTGATCACTTTCAATAGGGAACTACATTATATAATTGAACAACCCTGTTTTTGAAAGTGGGATTGCCCCAGACAGATGATGTACACTCGTATCACATCTTCCAAACCAAAGGCTGGGCTTGTCAACCAGGAGCCTGAGCTGGGGAATGCAGTTAGTCTGGTTTTGAGACCTTTTAAAGAACTTGGACCCCTCCTTTCCTGGTACAAATTAAATTTGGAAAAAAAANCTAGGTGAGGGTGTTTCTCTCAACCTGGTCACACATGGAAAACTGCTCACTTCATGGAGCAGTTGAACAAGATTTGTCTGGCGGTAGAAAAGAATAGTCAAAATATCTAAGGAATCCATTGCAGTGTTCTGACCAACAATTTCCTCTTCTGCTTGATGTCCTGATGTGAAAGGCACAATTTCAAATGTAATTCTGTGAGGGCAATAAGGCACTTTTAAAATGACCGAGGATCAGATAGTTAATCATAATGCTGCACTTTGGTCATTTTATGACCCAAATGTTCTCAATCCAGTACACACACCAAACAATTTGCTTGCAAAGTAACTTTCTTCCCATTGGCAGGAATATTTCAGGTAGGTTAGCTGGTGAGTGCAAAAGAACCTGGACTTTATATTTTATTGTCATCTTTAAATTGCTTTACAGATAAGTCATTGAAGGAATATGTGAAAACCATTATGCCACCAAATGTATGACGTGAATGAAATCAAGGATTTGACCCACTCAGCTTGAAACTTTGATTGAGCTTGTTTAAAATGACTACTGCCTGAATGAATTCTTTTTAATTCTCGGGTAGCTCTGAGACATTACCCTGTGTCAGGAGTGCTATATAACTGCTAATTGTTACTGTTTTTAGTAAGAAGGATTGAGTGATTTTTTTTNAATAAAACATGTCTGGCCAGGTCAATCCAATTTACTGGTGGTGCCTGACTAGTCTGTTTAGTTAATGAGAATTGGTCAGCTATTTAAGTTATCAGTCCTGCAAACTCAAAAGCCTTAACTAGTAGGGCAGAGTGCTTCATACAATTAAATTGTGACAGAAAATTGCTATCTTGACAATGAATAAGTAAAGGATCTGCAGTTCTCTACCTGGCTTGTCAGCTATATCTTATCTTATACCAATAAAACGACAATGTTTGTCTGTCTGCGCTTCAAGAAGAATCTCAATAATCGATTAACGTAAGGACATGATTTATACCTCATCGGAAAGCTCTTGCATCTGGGAGTGACATGCGCATATTCCTTTTCAGGTATCTCGTATCGTTTATGAGTTATGACCTAAAATGTATCTCAGTTTTTGCATTTTTTGCTGCAATCACACCTGATGGCTGCTGAGCCAGAGAAAAGGATCGTTGTAGCATCGCTCAGTTACATCTGCTAACCTTGCCGGTTGCCCGTGGCGCTGCGATACAGAGCATACACGTAACCAAGCGGCGGCAGGAACAAATTAACACAGACAAAGCTAAGCCTCAGCAACAACAACAAAATTACATTTTTAAAGCACCTTTCACGTCAGGAGGATGTCTTAGTGATTATAAATTATACATTTATATTTACCATTATATAAAGATACCTAAGTGAAAATCAGATCATTCAAGGATAAGTAAAAATCCTCGACAAAAGAGTGAAGGCCCATTAAATGAAACTGAAGAACAAAGAACAGCACGGCACTTCAAAATGAGTCCTCCCACAGGAGACCTCCCAGATTAGTATAGATAATCTGCATTCCATATTGGATCCTCTGGTTGGAAATATAGCTGCAATGGGTACAGCTAGCTTGATTACAGTAGAAGATGATGAGTTAACTTCTTTTCTTTCTCTTGCATCCCCCCCACCCAAAGTAGGATTAGTACCTGGGAAGTGAACTTCATGATCTGAACAATGTGGGGTGTAGCTGAATCTTGTGTGATACGGATCAGGAGCTGAGGTTTCTCTTCTGCTGTCACTTAGTGTGTTTGTGAGCAATGAGGACACTGGAGATCTGTCTGGAAAATGCTGACGCCGGGGAAATGTGCAAGAAGCAGCAAATTGCAATGAGTCCTCTGGAGGGGAACAAGTAATTTAGTTTTGCATGTGTTCAGGATTAATTTACAGTAACATTGATTAATGTATGTGTCAGTGCTTGTTCAGATATTAAATCAATAGGTTACATTATCCCAACTGCATCTCCATGCTGGCATATTTAATGAAATTTTTGTCAGGTCTACTGTGTCAGGTCGCTGATGAGGAAACTGAGGCTTGGGACGACAACTGGAAAGCGTTACCTGGAGTCTGAGTTCATGAACACATTTGTACATCCAGTACCTGGAATCCCACTTGAATGGCCTGCAGAGAGGTAAGCAGCTGCTACTCCGTACCTCCAAATGGTGGAATCATCACTCAATGGGAAGGGACGCGTGTGTGAGCTGTGGGCAAGCAGCTGGTTGGCAATGCTCTCATGCATTTCATGCTGAGCTAATACCAAAAGGATTGATTTCAAGATCCTCACACTTGTCTTCAAATCACTTCACGCCCTGGCACCCACCCACGTTTGCTTACTCCCCAATCCATTACCCACTGCCTCCGGCCTCCTGCTTGCCCCTCGTGCCCCCCACTCCATCACTGGCCGCACTTTCTGCCACTACACCCAAAACTCTGGAACACGCTCCCTCAAGCCTCTGCTGTGTCCCATCCTTCCCCATGTACAGATTGTGTCTGAAGACCTTCCTCTTCGACTGAGCCTACGGTCACTTCCCTCCCCCTGGCTCGACATCATGCTCTGGGTCATTACCACGTGTGAGGTATGTTTAAATAAATGCAAGTTGGTGTTGAACTGTGTTGCCCACCACAAAGAACTGCCCAACTAGGCTGGCTCATCAGCAGGACTTCAAAGGGTAGACAAGTCATGGGGGGCAGCGACTCTTCCCACTCAGCTCCCATTACCTACCCTGCAAGCCAAAGCCCTAGTGGTTAGGGTGATCATAGCAGCAGGAAAGTTTGCCAGACAGTTCTTTCAATGGCAAGCCTATGCAGTTTTAGCTGATTAATATCCCAGTGCACACTCTGAGATCCACAATCCTTGACTCTCCAGGATTACAAGCACCTCAAAACCCCAAATATGCTTTGTGTGCAGGAAGAGAAGTGAAATCTAGCTCTCTTACAGGACTAACGCAGGCCCAAGCCTTTGCTAAAGTGCCTCTACCTCACCAGCTAACAACTCCAATTCAAAATGTACTATAGTTACTTCCCATACAACATACTGTCATGCACTTAATTGTAAACTCACCCTTGCAAGTTAAGGTGTCATTACACGTATATTCATTTAGTTCCTCAGTGCACGTTAGTTGATCTCTGCAGGCAAAAGAGCGGCAAGTAGCGTTCCACGTAGCAAGCACCATGCACAAGTTTAATACCAGCAATAAAAGTTAGCAAGCATGCATGTGCTCCTTTTATCTCTAAATGGTCTACACCAGTGTGAATGGCATAAACATAGGCACCATCTGGACTTTGCTTGTCAAAATATACAATAGGCACAATTTATAATAATCCTTGCATTTGATACAGCGCCTGGTTACATTAACAGTGATTTATAGGAAAGTGAATGTATTTGTAGGCAAATGTGGGAGCCAATTTGCATGCAGCAATGTCTCACAAACAATGTTCAAAGTCCTAATGTAACTCCTGCCTAAGAGGCCATTTTGCCCACCCCAATACTGTCTACTCTAGTGGAGTTTTCTATTTTAATATATTGTTCCTCTTCAAACACCTCTCCAATTCCCATTTAAAGTTAACATGGACCCAGTCCCAACAGACATTTACGACAAAGCACTTCAATAACCTCCCCCCTGAAGTCTTTCAATGACAGCCATAACTATGCCACTTATTTACAGTTTACAAGCCAGTTTACAGTTTACAAGCCAGTGGGAATATCTTTCATTATGTAGTCTCTAACACTTTCAGAATTGTGAAAATATCTACTAAAAACTCTTAATCTGTTTACTATTTCAGTGAAAAGTTGAAACAAAGGGTACATGTGCTGTATCAATACCTGAAGGAGTCTTGCGTTCTTCTTTCCGCACAGAAATCTGTACTCAAGTCATCACTAAAATATAGAAATAAAAAGCTAAGCAAAAATCACAATACTGTTATTTCATTTATTTCCTACTAACATTATAATAAATAATAATATAATAATCCTTGCATTTGATATAGCGCTTTTCACATCTTCTAGACATCTCAAAGCGTTTCACAGAATATATTGTAAAGTGAACTGACTGTATATTTGTGGGCGAAACGTGGTAGCCAATTGCGCACATTGGCATATTCCCATTCCTGACTACACTGTGGGTAATTCTACTTGCTTTTCCTCAGGTGATGAAATATTTTAGGTAAACTCCATGGTGGAGGAGATAACAACAACAACTTGCACTAGCATAGCTATACTTAGCATCTTGAAATTAGTTACAATTCTTGCACAGTTCTGCATTGCCATTCGGTTCCTAAATTACTAATAACTATAAAAACAATATAGTTCCATGTATTTCACATGGTGATTTTATAGATATTGGTTAAGTGCTATTCCGTCCTGTTCTAGCACATTTGATGAATTCTGTGTCTGTGTACTTATCATGAATGTATGCAATTTAAATTTATAATCGCATTAAATGTAATTTTTTAAAAAAAGTTTATTTCTTAACTCACTGGGACAAATTGTCCAAACGTTACTAAACAGGACAGTGCCTGACCCATTATAAACACATGAGCTACATACAGTTCAGAGTTAAAACAATATGTAAACAATGTTTAGTTCTGAAATTTCATGACCAAGCAGTGCAACCAAATGACAGAAAGTCTAGTACTTACACAGCATGCATTTTCCTTGATGACCATTCTGGTTCGCACTCATTTGTGTCATTTTTGTTTGACATTTTGCTGTGTTCATCACAGAATGTATCCTTCAGGTCCAATTGAAGATTATTCGGGTCTGAATTCAAGTCCTCTTGGAAACAACTTTTCCTGCATACTGGCTAAAGTTCATAAATGAGAGTATGAAGAGTAAGAAGCAGTGGATTAAATATTAATTTTTAATTGTTAATTATTATTATTCTTTTTAAGGGATTATTATCCCCCAGAAGTGCAATCTGCCAATCGACTAACAGATAAATGGAACTGGAATAGATGGCTCCAGTGCAAAGCTAACACCAGCCCAGACACTTAGGCTGAATTCCCTCTTTCGGTACTATAAACCTACGATTCCAAGAATTGGATTCCACAATACAAAATATTAAAATTTTAGATTAAATTTCTGGATAGTTTGCTGATAAAATACAGTCATTATAATTTACATAAATTCTATGAAGCTTTTTGAGACATCCACCTGATGTAAAAGGCACTGTATCAAATGCAATTATTATTATAGTTTATTTTCCATTCGTAACTTTTCACTCCAGCCAAACAAATGATACCTTAGTCCTTAAATTTTCTTGAAGGATTAATAGAAGTGGGAAATGTCACTTGATCCCAAATTATAATGTTACCCTGAGGCTAAAGACTGGTAAATAAGCCATCAGAATGAATAAAAGCAGCACAAAGTGAAGTCACATCATTAGGTAAGTGAGAAGCTCAGATTTTAGGTATGATGGAGGAAATATTAAAGCTATGTTCTCAAAGCTGGATGGGTAGTCTTGTAAACACAATATAATTTACATTTGTACAGCTCATTTGACGTCGGAAGGATGTCTGCTTCGTAAACTCATTCATAAGGGAACAATCAATATGTACATATGTTGACATAAATACACATCAGGAAGGTAAAAAGAACAAACCCTGGACTGGAATCGAGGCACCCCTTTCACATTCAAGAACTTTGTTGTTGAACCTCAACAGTTGAATAGGCCCAAATATGGGGGTGGCAGTTGAGTTTCTCAGCATTAATGACAAAACCTTAATGTTCAGCTTGCAATCCAATCCAGTACAATTTCCCTTATTCTAATTTGCTGGCTGCTCGACGTGAGTACAGCACCTCCCTGGCTACAAAGTGAATAATTGGAAATAATCTGATTGTATGGCTCTGATGGATGTGATGGAAATCCCTCAATGAACAATTTTACAACTGTTATTAACACTTTGAGGGCTATTAATATTTGAGGGCTATTTTCTGTTTTTCGCCGAAAGCCACATGGAACCAATTTGCAATTGGCTTAACTCATTTCATGACAGCTCTGACTACCATAAGAAAGATGCAACTTCCATCCATCAACTTGAGCTAGATTTAAATAGGGGATCCCAAAGGAGAAATTAGGGGGCATATTTGATTGGTCCATCAAATTTCCATAGATGTCCATTAAATTCTTAAACAAATCAAAAGCCTCAAACTGTTCTCCACCCACAAAATTAATTCTAATTTAAATGCAATTGGAAAGTAACCTAATTCCTTAGAAATCCTCTAGAAGGTTGGAATACTGCAGGCTGGAACTGAATCAATGTTGGTCTAGGACTGGTGAGCACAGTGGGGTCAATTTAGCTGCACGTTCAATGTTTATCACGTCGATGGAACTTGGATGTGCTAAAGGCAGACAACATCAAGCCATTCTCAATGGCAAAAGTCCATGATCTGCGAGGTGATAAGTATAGAATGTTTCATGGAATTCACAAAGAGGAAGAAAGAGTCATGTCTCCCATACATCTCGGTACATTCAATGTGATAAATATCAAATGTTCAATTGATGCCCAGTGTCAGTCTTATTCCCTATCCCTCACAATGTAGAAATGTGAGCACTGATGCAGCATTCTGTGAGTGACCAAATCAAGAATGGACAATCATAGCGCGAGGAGGGATTTGAATTAATAATTTGCTTGGGATATTAGTGCTGCATTAGTGCTCGAGCATAAGCCTATTAACTGTCATGCAAACACACAGTGGTCCTGAAAAATAAAAAATCACACACATTGTGAAAACACTCACAAATGACAGGTATCCTGAGGATGGCCTGGAAGATGTCGGATTACCACTGACAGAAGAGCAATGGGGACCAGTAGAGGTTCGTTGGCCAACACCAATATTATAACCTGGACCTTGGAGCTCCTTTAACACAAAACAATTACAATGGACTGCAATGGGATCCTGGATCAGATCAACTCAGCAACAAACTGAGAAATGAGTGACACTCAGAGCCCCACTGTGCACATGCAAGTAACACATCTCACACAAGGGAGGCAAAATTAGCCAGCAGATTGCAACACAGCAATAAGGAAACATTTGGTGGGGAGCGGGTCAAAAAAAATAGTAACTCGCAACAGAATTGACTAATATCAAGTTAGAGTCTTAAGGGTGAATCAATCCTATGGCACAGATGAGCTGCAATTCCATAATGTTCTGGAAATTGCCAGGGGAATCACACAGTCGGCTATGATAGTCAAGCGCTCTGGGACCCTACCCCTGTGTGAGAGGCGCTATATAAGTGAAAGTTGTTGTTGTTGTGGTGCGGTGACATTTAACGGCAGGTTGACACTGCGTTTCTGTGAAAGAATCTTGTTGGGCCCCATTTTATCAACCCAATGTTGGAGCGGAGTAAAGGAACCTTTCATTTGAATTTTGTCCACAGCACTCCTGACCAGGAAGCACTCAGTGCTGACAAATGGGTACACAGATATTGGCAAGCAATCCCGTTCACCAAGATTGACATTCCTCACCTCCACTAATCCTGGGAAATCACAGTATCAGAAATAACTTGCAAGTAAATGTGCTTTCTCAAGGTCAGGAGGCTCCAGCTCAGCTCCTAAATTCAGTTAAACTACTATGTACATTTCTCAGCTGATTTAAGATCCGAAGGAAGAGGATCCAAACCACCACATTATAACAAGGCAGGCCTTATAATATATATATTTATATACACACACACATGTCCATATTGCACCGGACTTACACTCCATACTTTACGTGATATCACCATCTTCTGCCCGTCCATGCAAACTCCAGATTTCTTACACGTGCATTGCCAAAATTGGGTATTTGGAAGGTGGGGATGGGGGGGAAGACAGTCTGCCAAATTAATGTGATGTAGAGCAGAAAGTATAAATCAAGCTTGTCATTCCACATTGTTATATTTCTGGGGGCAAAGTGACTTTGTTACTAGAGGTAGAAATGAAACATAATACGGCAACCTGCATGAGTCAACCCTGAACAGCAGCATCCTGCAGATAGCATTTCTAATGTTGCAGTGCAGTCTGATCAGCTACTTCTACTTTTATGCTGTTGTCCTTGAATTCTGAACCAGGGATTAATTTGAATCCTTTCGAAATTAGTTCATTGACGATTACATGATTAGGTGGAAGCTGTTTGATACATCTTAATCAAATGCATTGATATTCTGGGGAATTAAGCTACAAAGTACAGGTGGAATTATTTAGAATATTTCAGATATATTACTTCAATCCTCACAGCACTAATTGCATAGTTACTGCCTCGAACCATGTATGATATACATACATGCCCTTTCTCACCATTTCCAGTTAGTTTACCATTGGAGACCTGGATGAGTATAATCAAGTTCACGATTTTACTGGAGTGTGAATGTGAAACAACAATGTGAAATCGGAGGCAAGTTTAGGATTAAAGAAAGGCAAACACACAGAGAAAGAAACAAGAGTGTCAAAGAGAAAAAGTGTCAGACCACAATAAAGAGAATGTGTCACACAGAGAAAGAGAGTCAGACAGAGAGAAGCAAAATGATAAGCTCAGAGATAAAGAATGAAACAGTCATTGCAAGAGTCAAACAGATTCAGAAAGAAAGGGAAAGAATCAGACAGAGAGAGAAAGAGAGAGTCACTGGGTCTGGAAAAAGGCTGGCACTGTGTGGGGACACCTTTAGAGAAGGTTTTGATTAGAATTATGCATTGCATTCTGTGTCATGATCTTTTATCACAATACTGTTTTCATAATACAATACACAGTAAGTAGAAAGTCTCATATCCCCATTGTTTGGGACCAACTACATTAACATAGTGCATTAACCAGTTGAATTTCTATCAAGCTGTGCAGAGCAGCATAGCAACTTTTATTACGTGCAATCCCCTCCTTTAGGAGAGCTAAGATCTATCACTAGCCACAAATCTATTGGAAATTGTTATCATGCAAAATTATCATTTTAGTACCCTGTAAATTATCTAATAAAAATATGATGAAAATCACAGTACACATTAAAGGAAAATACAAATTATCTATACCTTTATTTCCAAGGCGTGCTGAAGTTTTAAACGCATGAAGTCTTGTTCTTGACGCTGAATAACTGACTGACAATCAGAAAACTGGAGACTGGTCTGTTTTGTATGGAAACCACAAGAGTCAGATCAAACTTATTACTCCATTTAATTGCTCTTCAAGCAGTCCCTGTGCAGTGTGCAATTCCCCTGTACTATACAGGAACAGGCATGCATATTTATATAAAACAATATATACCCACAACATGCAACATCATGGTGCACATTGTTAGCATGCTTTGTTTCCATGCTTTTAAGGTCCTGTGCCAGAATAGTAGGATTCAAGTTCCCAATCCTGGCAGTGATATCAGGCTAGGCATTGAGTGGAGGTTCAGTGACTATACAATGGGAGGGAAGACAAAAATAATCAGCAGACGTCTCCTCTTGTACTGCTCTTGGACACTTGCCCAGCACAAAGGATCAAGCCCAGCACTGATGGAGCTTAGTCACTTTGCCTTCACTGTCAAATGGGGATTGGTCTGTCATCTAATGGCAAAGCCAGCACACAGATTCTCAGCCATCGAATGGGGAATGGAATGTTACTTGGAGAGAATAATACAGAGATGGTTATCCTTCAAATAGGGACAGGGGTAGCCTGGAGAAGTCAGTGTAGAGACTCTGACATCTAAAGAGAAAAAAAGGTGTACAGCTTGGGGAAACCAATTTGAAAGACTTTGTGCTGGGCTTTCCATGTCTGGAAACAGAAATTCCCACGAAAAACATTATCTGTTATTTTAGTTTTGGCTTCAAAAGAGGAGAAACGTGGTATAAATCCTTTGTGCATTGAAGCTTACCCATTAGGGTTTGTTTCCATGTTTCATTACACCTAGAGCTTAGCGCAAAGAGAGGAAAATGCTTACTATTTAATCATTAAAACGGTTTGATAAATATTGGTAAAACCAAGTTTTCCTGACCATCAAGGAAAGCTTAAGAAAATCACCTGTGTTGTTTTACTTGGTTCATCTCCCTCCAAATATATAACTAGCATCACAGCCTTTGAAAAGGTTTTGGTGGGATAGATATTTTAAATTTTAAAATGCCAATATAACTATGTATTACTCACTTAAAGCATAGTAGTCATTCTTCTACTGAAGCAAGACTCCATATACCATGGCTAGTTAAATCGTGCAACCTAGAAAAACAGAAGGATTGCGAGTTTCTTTTGCCCTGTTTATACTGCGCTTTGAATGTTAATTTGGCGCTATTTCCCACACTAAATTCATGCTCAGAGAGCAGTATACATTCTACTTGTTCTGTGATCAAGATGTGATTCACATCAGACTCCAGTCTGCTGAAACCACCTTGGGCAAGTGATTTCCTGTTTTCCACAGCTGTGCTGTTTAAAATACAGACAACCTGAATCAATTTGGCCTCTGATTTACAAATGGATCTCAATAGCTGTGGACTGCCTAAAAACTTTTAAGAGACGATTTGTAAACTTATCAAAGAGCCAACTGCTGTATTTTTTAAAAAAATCAGCATTGAGTGCATCTGCTGGCCAGCAAAGCCCTGGAATGCACGAGAAGAGCTCTCATCAGTGAATGTGATTGTGAATTTACAAAATTAAAGGCAGCAATTCTAATAGCTTGCAGCAGTATAGAGGAGCAAGTAAGATTTTGCAACTGGAACCCAGATGAACCTTTCTTAAATGCCTTGTTCGCCAATAGTGGCATCTGATTACAGAAGTTTATCCTGGTCCAAACATATAATTATTTAAAAATGTACCCCCATCTGAATTAGAATCTACAGCTTAGGCTAAGCTAAAATATAGTAATAATAATAATAATAATAATAATAATCCTTGCATTTGATATAGCGCTTTTCACATCAGGAGGACGTCCCAAAGCGCTTCACAGAACATACTGTAAAGTGTATTGACTGTATATTTGTGGGCGAACGCGGCAGCCAATTGCGCACAGCAATGTCCCACAAACAGTCATGGATTGAAAATGACCAATTTATTATTGTTTTGGGTTTTGGAGGGATTATTATTAGGCGTGTGGAGTAAGGAAACTTGCCCAAGGTTTCGCCCTGCCTGGAATTGAACTCAGGTCTCTAGCTTGCAAAGCGAGTGCTCAACCACTGAGCTACAGGACTCCATAATAGTATGGAATTCCCCCTTCACCACCCTCCCGATATAAGAAACTGAATAAATCCACTGAAACAAACAAAATATAATAATATAATAATAATAATCCTTGCATTTGATATAGCGCTTTTCACGTCGGGAGGACGTCCCAAAGCGCTTCACAGAACATACTGTAAAGTGAATTGACTGTATATTTGTGGGCGAACGCGGCAGCCAATTGCGCACAGCAATGTCCCACAAACAGTCATGGATTGAAAATGACCAATTTATTATTGTTTTTGGTTTTGGAGGGATTATTATTAGGCTCTGTGTGGAGTAAGGAAACTTGCCCAAGGTTTCGCCCTCTGCCTGGAATTGAATTCAGGTCTCTCGCTTGCAAAGCGAGTGCTCAACCACTGAGCTACAGGACTCCATAATAGTATGGAATTCCCCCTTCACCACCCTCCCGATATAAGAAATTGAATAAATCCACTGAAACAAACAAAATATGTGTTTTAAACATACCTTAAACTTAAATTATTGCAAGACAAAATGTTTGCATTTCGATATCCATTGTTTCGAACTTATTAACAGGTCATCAAAGAGTTAGTACAAATCAAGAACTCTGCACTGGGTTGTAAACACGCTACAGCATGTTACCAAAATACAAAATCATAGAGGGTTTTGAAAATACTTTCACTGAAACACTGAAACTGAATACAATACACAGAAATTGTATTTAGCTGTCTCCAGTGGAAGAGCTTACACCAGCATGCATTTGATGCACTGAACAGTCAACGGCTATGCTGCAATTTCTATGATTCATTTATGTGACTGGTGCTGTTGGCAAAGATGCAGCACCTGGGTGGACAGAGAGGGAGGGGCTTCTCATATGTGAAGGAAGAGAAAGTCAAGTGGGTTCCAGTACAAATGGTTCTTTAAGGGACAGGCGATCCTCTGCTAGGTTTCTCACTCCCCCTCCCCCAGCTGCACGACTTAACTACAACAATATGTGAAGTACAAGGGTGATGGTCTTTTACAAAAAAACTTTGACAACGTTTGGTTTCAGAGTTAAAACTGGTGGAGGTTACCTTCTCCAGAGTGGTCTCTACTTTGATCAGTCGTTCCCGCAAACGCTTTTCCTGACATTTCATAACGTCAAGCTCTGCAGCAATTTTGTTCCTTTCTGATACTAAGCAAGAGAGTTCTTTCGTCAGCCGAACCTTCTCTTCTTTCAAATAACATTTCTCCTAACGTAAAAGCAGAAGTGGGTTAAAGGACCAAAGGAATCACAAATCTAATGCGTGTGTGTGTGTGGGGAGAGGAGAGGAAAGGGGGAGAGGAAGCGACATATCTTGATGTGCACAGGATCCAGAAAAATCCAGTAGATTTGTCTAAATTCCAATTTAATTCCTTAACAAGGTCAATCACTCATCACTGGTAAATATTTTAAGTATTGTGTTACTAGTAATTAAAAAAAATGAAAGCATCAGTAGGAAGGTTTAGCACACTGATTAAACTCATCGTCAAGTTTAGTAGACGAACATATGGCTAACTTGGGTGCAACTCCACTAAGGTCAAGCAATAGCTTCACACCCAGTTTCAGCAGACTAATATATTGCTAACCTGGGTGCACTCCACTAAGGTCAAGCAATGGATTAATAGTATCTGCCTCTCTACCAGCTGCTCTGGAGTGCTGTATTGCTATCCTGTTTATAGACCGGTGGCAACATTTTTAAAAATATAATCCTCATTAAGTTACACTGTTCTCAACTACTATACAACATGAAAACAGACTCAGCAAAAGACCCTTATTGGAGATCAATTGCACAAGACTGAACAGCCACAAGTAGACCTTCTCTGGACTTAAGCAGAAGACATTAGGTTGCATTAGTTATTGACTTGCATTAAACATTAGTCTTCTGGGCGTTATTGAATGATTGCCCTCAAAAGATAGGAATTCATTTGAGATGAATGAAGCATTGCAAGTCTAGATACTTTGAATGGACAGCACCTTCCTTACAGAACTGCACTTTCAGCCCTTCATGACTGCAAGCAAATGGCACCTGAATAAATGGTGACATTATTACTATGATTATAGTAACTTTACTTCCCCTTCCGAAAGAGATTTAATTGTTCCGTAACTAGAAGTGTTGAAATGTCAAGATATTGGAGTATCAGAAACTTTCACAAGGAATAAAATTTTAAACCATTATAGCCAAAAAATCCCCCACAAAATTCAGCGAAACAATTATAGTCCACACATTGAATAATAAATTTCAATATCATTATTTCAAATAGGATACATATTTTTGCATCACAAACATAGTGGGATATCTAGTGCTTATCTTAGACATTTTAGTTATATATTACCAAATATTATTTGAGCACATGAATAAATAGGTGTTCCAGAAATGACCAAACATTTTGTGATATTTTCTGCATCTAAAATTAAACATTACTTCAGGATGTAGTTATGAACCTGTATTAGATGCAGCAAATATCAAAGTGTCAATAAAAATAGTATCTCTAACCTTGATTTAGTACCTAAAAACGTGAAACCAACCAATGGGTTTGGCTGAATCAGAGCCAGTCCTTCTAAGGCTTTTGGCTGCCATTGAAGCCACAGGTTTGACCTGCCAAAAGCAGCTGACTGAGTGCTCAAATTAACCCACTGGCCTGTAGATACACGCGTGAACATAAGGTGTGTGGGGGAGGACAACTTTCCACTAGTAAATCTTTGTTAGGTGATTAAGGTGCAAAAAGTGAACATATTTCTACAAGTCTAGTCTTTTCCCTGAGATGATAGAAATCATAATTGCACAATGCATTACCCAGCTGATGGTGTCAGTCTGACTAAGAAGATAAAATCTTTTCCAATGCTTCAGTTGAGGTAGGGGCAGCGTGGAGACCCACAAGCATTGGCTGCTTTTGCAAAACAAAAGGCTAAACGGCAGTTTACTCCTTCCTTATTCTTTCCCAGTCTGTCCAATACTGCTTCCCCCGGTTTGTGAACAAACTAAGATGAGACTTTATATAAATACTTGGTGCAGTCACGGACCTGATAAAGTCCGGTGTGAATTCTGAAAGATCACCCTGCGTGTTTCAACCCCCACTACTACCCCTCCCTCATCAGTGGGCAGAATGATAATTATTTGAAATTGAAGGTTGTACAGCATTATAAGATTTATGACAAAAATAAATTATAAGGTGAAAAGGTGGCAGTTTGCATCAGGATCCATGAATAACAAGTCAGCATTGCTAAACAGAGTCATGACTGTGGAATGTAAGGTGAGCAACTAGCATTTGTGACGGATCCTTTGTGCAAGGTATTTGTGGGGCTTGTGGTTGATGGGCTGGTTGAGAGGCGAGTCTTAATGGAACAGTATTACTAGTTGTTTTCTCCCATTATATTGATTCATAATTAAACAAATGGAGAATAGTAATATGTGTTTCATTAATGATGCTTGCTAAGATTTTCCATAGATTCTATTACAGTGAATGAATTACTCTGCACCTTGTCACAATTCTCCAGACTGTCCTCCAGGAAGTGAATCTTGCTTTGTAGGGCATCTATCTGTCCCCGCTTGGCGGTGATTTGTTTTTGCATCCCCATGGCAACTTTCATTGCTGCAGGAGAGACAAGTTACTCTTCAAGTTAAGTCAAAGCAATACAAGACCTTGGTTTTAATGCCTCACTAAATGACATCACCTGCAGCAATGCAATGCTCTCCAAACTCTGTACTGGGAGTGTCAGCCTGCACTGTGAGATAAACATCCTATGGTTAGCACATGTAGAGGAATATACATTGTAAAGAGCAGTGGTGGACTGGCTCCCGAAACAGCTTGGAAATATGATGTAAAATTCAGGGGCACTGATTTGTGGGGGTCGGGGGAGGGAGGGCAGTCCCAAAAACATAAAACATCTGCAAATTTGAAAACTTTGTCGGGCTTAAATGGATCTTCGGAATTAGGCTGCATCAGGGTGGTAAACATCGGGTACAATCACAGGGGCGCTCAGAAACCCTTCACGAGGGCACTTGGACATTTTTAGAGTTCCTAATTGCCCAGTCCACTGTGGATATCTTGTGACTTGCAATGCAACCCAACCAGTAGACAACAGGGCAAAGGATTGAGAGTTTGGAAGAAGATCAGATGTTCTTTTCCAATAGTTATCGTTTACATTTCAATACTGAAAACACCTACAATTGAATATGTGACTATTTTTAGCTTGTTCAGTTAGCTTCAGTAAGCAAATCCAGATTTTCAATAACTGAACATCCAAAATTATTATATCAAAAAACAATCCAAATTTTAAACGTACACATTATATGAATCTTAAAGGGAGAAAATAAAGTGACTGACTGTGGGATGTCGCTGTGCGCAAATTGGCTGCCATAGTTAGTCCACAAAATAGAGACAATCCACTTTACAATATATCCTGTGAAGCACTTTGAGACATATCAATGACGTGATAAGGTGTTATATCTAATGCAAGGATTATTATTATTATTACAGTAGCAATGAAGTATCTTATCTGCATTGGATACAAAATGAGTACCATGAGTATCTGCTCCTTCAAGGACCTTCATCGCCTCTCTTGCTTGCTCCAGGTCACATAGGGCAGTTTGCAACTGAGTCTTTATTTTGCTTGTGTTCCATTCATACTCGTCAGTTTTGTTGGTCAAACTCCTCTTCAACTGATTATGTTCCTCTGCAATCAATCCAAAAGTAAGCAACTGAATCACAACCATTCATAAAAGACAAAAGTGCGTCCCTCCAAGTACAGAATGTGGATTACATTCCAGACACAGGAAAATTTCCTTTTGCAAAACATATGTGGAACGCTGAGACTGGTTTGGATATTCTCAAGCTTCCTGATGGGATTTTGAGCGTGACAGACAAGCAGCTGACCAAAAAGCAAAAAGTCAGCTGCATAAAAAAGCATGTAGGTAATATCGCTTGCACAACTTGAATAAAATACCAACCAAATCTGGAGGTTCTGTAGTTTTTATAAAAACATATTTAGAGCAATGCAAGTCAATAAGTCTTATTAAAGATTATGTGAAACACTTCAAAGTTACGCAGGAAAGTTTGATTAAAAGTTCAATCATGAGCTGCAATCCCTCATTGTACTCATACCTTTTAGGCAACACATTTGGGTCTGGACAACATTCAGCTCGTTTGAAAGCTGGTCTTTATTCTGAAGAAGGTCTCTCAATTCAGACATCTTATCAGTGGCATCGTTTATTAGCTTCACCTTCTCCTTTTCCAGCTCACTCATACAAAGCTGTAGCTTTTGGATTTGCACATCTTTCCTTTCCAAATCAGCCTAACAAGAACAGACAGTTATTACATCTCGAGATGCTTCTCGATCCAACTGGATTCAGGTGAGACAATAACCATAAACCAATAAATATACTGAGATGTTACAAGGGATTGAGAAGCTATATTACATGGACAGGCTTGAAAGTTGGCTTTTTTTGTTTTGCATTGAAACAGAAAAGCTTTAGGGTTAAAAACTCAATTGTTTTCCCAAAATTATGAATGCCTTTGATTGAGATAGTAAATAGAGAGATTATTTCCATTGACTGGCGAGCCAGTAACAACACGACCTATATAAATATTGCACTTTTCATTCAGAATAATGTCTCAGAGTGCAGGCCTCTGTTAGATGAGCGAAGAGGGGGACAGAGAAGTGGGGAGTGAGCAGGTCAGACAAGTATGACAAGTATACACAATTAAAATAATTCAGGTTGTTTTCATTTTACCCAGAGGGCTATCAGAATATTCTTTACCACAAATTGCTTTTGCACCAGGTCCAAAGACAATAACAGCATTGCCTCACAACGTAATTGAAACAGCCTGCTCCACCCAGCAATCTTGACAAAAACAGACTGCACTGATTTCCTACCGCAGGTAACTATCATACTGCCCTTTGGGGTGAGCAATTCACAAAGCCACGTTTATCCAGAAGCTTCCATTTCAGAGTCCTGAAATTCATGTCCCAATACATACATTGCTTCAAAAAATTCCAATACTGATATTTTTGCAAAAGAAGTTTGTCTAAATCATACGAGGAAGATCACTGAAATAGATTTGGGGAACCCCATGACACATCAGACACTGCACAATTATAACTTACTCCTTCTGCATATAGTGGAAATCTACAGTTTGAACACAAAGCTATGGAGTAGCACCGAGCTGTTTCAGAAAAGAACAGTTTTTTTAAAAAATATATTTTAAAACTGTTCATGGGTTTTTCCCCACATATTCTTTTTAAGCTCCTGCATTTTAATGACATGGTTTGAACTTTGCTCAAGAAAGAGACGTTTGCTGTCAGACATCTGGAAAAATAAGTTATTTCAGATGAGTATATTATGGTTGGTCCTCATACACAAGACTGAATACAATAAAAATTGAATGTAATGGTGATAGAAAGTGGTAAGATTGAGAGTATTATAAAAAGCAGCAAAAAGAGTTCAAGTAAATATACCAACAAGGGGAAAAGCATGAAAATGGAGATGGCGTGACTGATAATAGCAAAGGATTTCTTATAAGTACAGTACATGACAAAAAGAAAAGAGTGATAAACTGAGAAGTAGGCCTATTGAATAAAACAGGTTTGGGTTTGAGAATAAGAACAAAGTCTGGACACTGCTAAATAAATAGTTTGCTTTGATCTTCACAAGGCAACTTGGGATGTCCTGCTGATGTGAAAGGAGCTATATAAATGTCAATGTTATTGTATTGTAAAATCATAAGAGAGGCTTGAATGAAGAAAGCCCTTCTGCCCAATCAATTTTATTCTTCATTATTTAAATGAGCCCTGTGTTATCGCCTCTACTTTTCCTCTTGCACTGTCTCACTAAAGAGTTCCTTGACAAACCCACAGGTGGTGGATACAGGATCTAATAAATAGCATTTATTTGGATTTTCAGAATGAAATTGATAAGGTTCTGTGTAGAGATTATAGGCTAAAGCTAAGGCTCGAGGAACTCAAGGCAACATAATGCCTTGAATTAAAATGTGTTTTGTAGTAAAAATGGGTTGAGAAATGATTAAAAATTAACTACTGCTGTTCTCATGCAAGTGTGCAATATGGATCAGTATGAATATTGTTACAGTTTGCAAAGAGGTAAAGCCATTTATACCTGATTCTGGGAGGATTTCTCCTCAAAGGAAAATGATGCGAAAGGGTAAAATTCATTTTAAACATGCTGTACTTTAATCTGGTTTTTCATATCTCGTCTGCACGTACCTTTAACTCCTGAATCTTACACTTTTGAGTGGCTACTTCACTTAGAAGTTGTGTTTTTTCAGCCTGCAACTCCTCAGAAGCGTGACTCTGTTGCGAGGTCATGTCGGCAATGGTTTGCATTTCCTGCCGCAGGACACTCAGCATTTTGGTTTTCTCGTAGAGCTCATTCTTCAGCGACTCGTTTTCTAACTGTATTTTCTGCAGCCGTGAAATCGCTTCCTCAAACTGGTCACAGATACTTTCCTCAGCTACTTTCATCTTATGGATTTGACGGATCTTCTCCTCGAGTTCCATTTGCAATTTATTTTTGTCACAAGTCTCAGCTTCTGAACACTTTTCCTTTTCTTTCATCTGAGTGATGCATGCCTCGGCCTTTTCCAGCTGCTGTTTTTTACGGCTTAGCTCCTCCACCATCTTGCAATGCTGCTCATTAAAGCGCTCATGTTCACTCAACAAGGATGTAATCTTTTCTTGAGCCTCATTCCTTTTCTTTTCTGCCGCTAACTACAGTGGAAGACAAAAACGGTAACTTGTAAGAACCGCACTATCCGGAGCGAGAGAACAAACACGTCAGCTAAGGACAGGATTAATTGTGATATGATGCGTCCATCTGAAGGACAACACCTCTGACAACACAGGAGAAATGTGGGAAGAAAATTCACAAAAATAAAACTAATAGCCCTTAATCCAATCAATCAAGAATCAATACGCTGAGGGCATCAAATCGAGCTAAAGATGTTTCTGGGCCCACTGGTTCCAGGTTTGATGCCCGATGACATGTACCTGTATGCTCTCGTGACATAAGTTGGGACAAGAGTTTCTTGGTGTCATTACACTGTAGGTCTTTCATCAGAGAAATTTCAAAGATTGTTCTGTTCTGACAGAAGAGATAAAGTATAACTGGGGCTTAAGGCAAACATTTACATGTAAGGCTTCATAATTTGTCATGTGAAACTAACTTGACACTCCAGTTGATGCTGGCACTCCTCCTTCAGGGTGTTCAAATGGCAATCTAGTCGGTGTATTTCCATATTTTTGGAATCCAATTCCCGCTTCATGTTCTCAACATTGATACAGTTACTTGTACCACGATCTCTGAGTTGTTGATTTTTGTCTTTTTCAATCTTCAGGTTCTCTTCTACATTACAGTAATCAATCTAAAAAAAAGTTAAACACTTCATAGTACAGTATAAGAATTTAACAAAAAATCAAACGCAATTAGAAGGTTGCTGGTGAGTTGGGCGGGGGGTGGGGTGGGTGGTGTGGAGGAAGAGGAGGGAGTGCAGGTAATGTATCCCATCAGTTGGTTACTCATCCCAAAGATCTGTGACTGATACCCAATTACATCTTTTCAGATTCCCAATCAAAGCACAGCTTCCACCAATTATCCCCAAACATTTAGCTATAAAATGAACTATAAAGACTTTTTTTTTNACAAAACGAAACCAAATAAATAACACCTGATAAAGTGAATCGTTCTGACGTAAACACCAACCAAGAAACCTGGAGTAAAATAATTAAGAATGCAATTATACTACTAATATTGGGAATCTGTTTGATGGCCCAGCGTGTCGAACATTTTTTCATAAGATTTTTAACTTCATGTTCTTCAGAGAAAATACGATCTAAATTCAACAGAAACAGGTGATGTTTCAGAAACACAAACCAGAACCAGTCTGTTATAAACAACAAAGTGGGGATAAATCGGCTAACTTGCACAAGGTGTGAAGTTAGCTGATTCTGGGGAGTGTCACTAAATCATTTCATATTTGTATATAAATAAATTCCTGATGAAATATAAATTAATAAGAATTGCCTTTTAAATGAAAATTAGTCCAGCAAATTAGAAGCGTATAACATCTTTAATATAAATAAGTATGTTATTTCTCTTGATTATTCCCTTCTATTAATTTGAAAACTAAAAATTGCTGCACTTACCCTCAACTGTTGTACTAGATTGTTCTGAGTGTCTATTTCTTTCCTTAATTCATCTCGTTCTCTTTTTACCTCAAAGATCTCACACTGAAACTGTTCTATTTGCCTGTTCATATCCTCAGACTGTTGAAACAGCACAACAGTGAGTCAAGCCTATACATAATACTGGTTGAAAGTTATCCAAATATTCAATCATTGCCATCTTCCTATTGTGCTCATTCAATGCACTATAACTTATTGAGAACGAGACGCAGTGAAAACATTTATTTTGCAAGCTCTACAGCTAAACCTATGGTACATTGTTTTGTGTGTACACCTGCCTTTGTTTCTACATGTAATAAGTGTTAATGCTTGATAAGTAATCTAATTATCTGAGATTTGTGAATGACCCTCGCAACTTGTAAAACATTTACTAAGTACAAGCAGCTGTGGGAAGGCCAGTGTCTTTTGGATATTATACACAAATCATACGAATGGTAAAACTAATTTTCATTACTCTCGAGATTTCTCTTTTTGAGTGTATTCCCATGCGTTTTTTCAAATTATACTTTATACATTTTCTTTCTACTGTTAGAAATGATGATATAAGGGAATTGCAATCTCTCTAAGGTTATATAAAAACAATATTAATGTCAAAAACTGCGAAATTCAATAAGCACAAATCTCCTGGGACCCACCTTCGGGGAAGCAAAACACAAACAGCAATAAAAAACAAGGATAAAGAAATGAAAAACAAATTAAACCTTTTCCCTGAATCTTTTCTAAAGTTAACCTATTGCCACCTTTTTTTACTTGTCTTGATTTGGCTATCCAGCTGTACAATGAACATTTATAAATTTCCTATATCTCAATTTTGCTCACTTGGCTTCAGTTTCTTCTTGCACCTAAAAGTCAAATCCTTCCAAATTGATATTCCATTATGCATTCTGCTTCCTCAGGAAAACTAATGTGGGCTTTTATATTCATGTGTGCATGGGAGTGGTGGACATAATGCATCAGCCTAACTGAAATGGTACCCTCGAGTAGGAAGGTTTTGAGTTGAAGCACTACGTCGGGTCATATGTTGGCTGGCACTCTAATGCAATACACTGGGGAAATGCTGATTGTTGGAGGTGACTTGCTTCAGCTATGATGCAAAGTGAGATCCTGACTGCTTGCAAGCAGATGTTAAAGATCCCCTGGCATTATGAAGAGAGAATGGAGTTTCCCTGGTGTCCTGGCTAATAAGGCCCCAAAATAAAATCTGGTCATTCATCACAGGGTCATTGGCTTCTATATTTGCCCACAAATGCACAGTCACAATAAGATTCTGTGAAGCACTTTTAGACATTTTGTTATTGGATTATTATTATTGTAGAATGTTAAAATACAGAAATATGCCATTTCTCCCATTAGGTTTATGCTTTTCCTCATGGTTTTCTTCATACAAGCCACCTGATCTAATCCACTCTCCTACTTGCACTCTATTTCTTTAATATTTTTCTTTTTTTTTAAATTGTCTCAACAAATGACACTAAGCAAAGCAAAACTTTATTTGAGAGGTTTTTCTAACTGTGTAACTGTTTATACTGAAGTAATTAATATAAAGTATAAATAATAATCCTTGCATTTGATCTAGCACTTTATCACATTGATGAGACGTCTCAAAGCACTTCACAGAATATACTGTAAATTGAATCAACTCTATATTTTGTGGGAGAGAATTAATTGGAACCACTTCCTTCTATACACATACTAAACACAAATCCTTGTATAAGCATATGAAGTACAAACCCTGTTATCTTGAATCTTTTTTACTTCCCGCAAATCACATCGCAGATGTGAGACCGTGGATTCCAATTCTGCAATCTGTTGTGTATACATTGAAGCCTGATTCTTTGCCTGTTCTCTAGATGTAAAGGAAAAAAAATTACATCTCATTTGAATGTTACAAGAATAAGAAGACATTGAGACAAGCTAATTCTCTGTGGGAACATTGCTTCTTGTGCTGAAGGCTTGTGGGTGGGGGNTAGCGGGGGGAGAAGGGAGGTGGTTATGAAGGGCAGCCAAAGGAACTATATAATGGGGACATGGGAATATATGCACAATTTGGAGTTGTGTTTGATTACTTCTGGGGATTGTGAATTGTGAATGACCTCTCTCTAATTAAATAATTAATTTGAAGTCCACATTTTGTTCTGACAAAGGAACCTGGTTTGATACAGTGACTCACTAGTTAACCAGAGGCTATCTACCTGCATATCTACATCGGGCTTCGAAACACATGGCTACCAGAAACCGGTTACAATAAATCCAGTGTGTGTATGTGTGTGTGTGAGGTTACTCAGGATATACAATAGTCATTCTGCACAGGTAAATCACAAGTCTTGTTACCCGGTGAGGCAAATTTACACATGAACACAACTGGATTGTCTTTGGCAGCACAAAGGTAAAGATTCATACTTTTGGATAGTTTGGGTTAGAGTCGGAGAAAGAAAAAGGTACAGAGGTAAGTCACATCAAGAGCCACAGTGAGGCAAAAAGTGAAAGAGACTCAGAGAAAGAGTAAGAGAATGAGACCAAAAGCTAGCGTGAGAAAGAAAGTTAGAGAGAGAGAAAATCGATCAGAGAGGCCTGGAACAGGGTGGAACATATAGTGACAATGTGAGGGATTATGGCAACACAAGCACTATTCTGAGAAGCTTTTGGACCAGGTCACAGGAATACTCGGTCTGAGAATGTTGATCAACTAACACTTATTTTTGCTGACACCAGAGTCATTAAATGTGTTCACTTTACAAGTGAACAACATAAGATCATAATAAGCCAACAGATTCAGAAAAACTGTACATTTGTTTTTCTACTGAATTTAGATCCCAAGCAAGAACTGGAGTTTTTGCAGAGCAACTAAAGTTTCAAAACAACCTACAGAAACTTAGAAAATAGAGGATGTTATCCCTCTGGCAGATTCATAACAAGAAAATCCCAAGCACACTCAATATTCAGGCGGTGGTTCATCAAACATTGTAACTATTTAACTAAAATAAAGACAACCTGAGAGATGGGTGGCTCCTATTTACTATCATAATGCATTGATCATAAAATGCCCTAGTGTCCTTAGCCTCCATTCTTGTAAAAAGCTTTGAGCCTTGACTTGTAGCTTGCCCCTGTTAGTAATAACACTGCTGAGGGCAGAATGCCAAATCCGACACTCCTCTTGTAATAGAAATTATTACTTATTGTCCACTTAGGCCACCATGATGAAAGAAACTTAAATCGGAAGCATGGTTATGAAACAATGGATCTTTGAAATAATTTTTTTGTAGGTTTTGGAACAAGAAAGGTAGGAAATGCACAAGAATTTTCCTTTCCAAATAGATCCCACTCTTGGAAGTAAATCACAAAGGTTCCATGAATCATCCATGATCTGCTGCCAGTCATTATCAGGTTCCCCGTTAGTGACTCTGACTTGCTGTAGGTGAGTCTTGCTGTGAATTGTCCCTTTTTCGGCCCCAACATGAAGGGAAAAAGCTTCAGATTGACCATAGACACTAAAGGGAACTTTTAAGCAATGGTGCTTTAGTTTTGATGGTTTAGTAAGAAGTGCCCCAATATGAATGTCAAGGTAAAACATAAACCAACGGACAGTCAAATTCAACAATACCTTGGATCCCTTTCTCAGAATTTCATGGGTACATCAAACTTATACCATATCATAATTATCCACATTCTCCAGACTGTAATTGGTAAATTAATAGTTGCTACCTGAGAGTGATCTCTCAGCTACCCATTTAACATTCAAAAAGTACTTTTGTTTCCTTAATTCAGAGTTAGAGCACTCGCTTTGCAAGCGAGAGACCTGAGTTCAATTCCAGGCCGGGCGAAACCTTGGGCAAGTTTCCTTACTCCACACACCTAATAATAATCCCTTCAAAAAAACAAAACAATAATAAATTGGTCATTTTCAATCTACGACTGTTTGTGGGACATTGCTGTGCGCAATTGGCAGCCGCGTTCGCCCACACATATGCAGTCAATTCACTTTACAGTATATTCTGTGAAGCACTTTGGGACGTCTAGAAGTCGTGAAAAGTGCTATATCAAATGCAAGGATTATTATTATTTTATTATAATATTCCCACCATGACCCAAAAAGGTTGTGTGACAGATCAACTGATTTGCAATTGTCACATTACAAGCTGGGGCAAGTTATCAAAGGTCCCCCCCTTTGCATTTCACAACATTTTTCAGGCATCTTTCTCTCCCTTTCTAAAAGACAAGGTGGAACTTTTCCTCAACCTAATCTTTAGGAATGCAATCCACTGATTTTTTTTTAAAAAAATGTTCGAGAGTTCAGCACTAAAGCGTAAAAATATCTTTAAAATTTTGACACGACTCTGGAGAGGTTCTCCTCAGACTGTGTAACCATTTCTTCCTTCTGCTGCCCACACTCCACGTTTCCTCTGGTAGACATCTATGCTTACTATAGAGTTTCTAATTGGTTCTGGAAATTTGTGGTAATGTTGCGAGAATGATTTGCTTCTTTAATCATTGCTGCCACCTTCTGCTCATGTTCCCAATTTAGCTGTTCTATTCTATAGAAGAACTGTTAGTGGAAAACCTGAGATGCACCATTTTCTTTGTAACACATCCACAAGGATGTACACAAGGACAGCAGTCAAGGAACAGCCCCCTCCCCCCCGCCACGAACATTCGCATGATTCTAGGTACGTTTTCTAAAACCAAATAGATGAAGAATCGTAATTGACTTTGAGTATCCTTTTATTTATTTTGATTGATTTTTTCTTAATATATTTAGTGAGTGCAACCCGTGTGACCACTCAACTGGTTTGACTCCTTAAGCCATATCTAGGCACCCATTTGTTCTAAAAAAAAAGTTTGTAAAAACAGTCAAAACTCAGAAACAATGATTCAAAATGGAAGTTTAGATTTTGTCCTTGCTCAGTGAATCAAGGTAAAGTCTGCAATGCTGTAAGATGTTGAGTATTAAAGATAATGAGCTTTCCTTGATGCCGGTACCAAATCATCCTCTTGTCTAAGAACAAGGAGTAAGAGCAAGTGACTCTAAAGTTCATTTTATAATCATAATTTAGTTTGTTGTCAGACTACAGGAGTTGTTCCCTTAGCAATATGACACACCACACCAGCTGCAGCTAAAATCTACTTAGATTTCAAGTATTGTGCAGTTCCATCCATGGGCATGAAATCATGTTACCAACCAATGAAGGAAGCATCCATTGCCATAGCAAAATGATGGCCAAGCCTGCAGTGATAATAACTTGATTCATTCCATTCTTGACTGGAGACAGTATGCAATCACTTCCTGTCCACCACAGCTCAATCATCTATTCTCAATTCTCAACAAAATCTCTGGTTAAACATCCCGCACTTTAAACTTGGTTACAATGAAACATTACACTTATGACATACAACTTGTTCTTCCAGGTTGGATTGCAGAAGGACTATGCTACACTGTGAGCAGAAATGTAGGTCAAACTGGAAGTAGAAATTACAACAACAACAACAAGATTCCATTTATAAAGCGCCTTTCACGTCAGGAGGACGTCCCAAGGCGCTGCACAGTTGGGTCATGACCCGAGCAGGGGGGAAATGGTCAGGGTGAGGGGAGGGAAGGGAGGGAGCGAGGAGGGGGGAAATGGTCAGGGTGAGGGGAGGGAAGGGAGGGAGCGAGGAGGGGGGAAATGGTCAGGGTGAGGGGAGGGAAGGGAGGGAGCGAGGAGGGGGAAGAGAGTCGAGAGGGGAGCTGAAGGCTCGGTCAAAGAGAAAGGTTTTGAGACCGGCCTTGAAGGAGGAAAGGGAGGAAGCAAGGCGAAGGCACTGGGGGATGGAGTTCCAGAGCCTGGGGGCTGAGAGGCTGAAGGCCCGACCACCGATGGTAGGGCGGTTGGGGCGGGGGACGTGGAGCAGACCGGAGCCAGAGGAACGGAGGGTACGGGCAGGTAGGTAGGGGGATAGTAGGTCGGAGAGGTAGGAGGGAGCAAGGCCGTGAATGGCCTTGTAGGTGAGGATGAGGATCTTGAAATCAATCCTCTGGGGGATGGGGAGCCAGTGGAGGCGAGCGAGGGTGGGAGTGATGTGGTCCCGAAGCCTGGTGCGGGACAGTACACGAGCTGCAGAGTTCTGGATGACCTGCAGCTTGTGGAGGGAGGTGACGGGAAGGCCGGCGAGGAGAGAGAGAGAGAGAGTCAGGTGGGATTACAACAACAACTTGCATTTATATAGCATAGTTCTGTTCAGGAGTCTATGCAATTCTGTCCTCCAAAGAGTCCATAAATCAGAACTATACTTCATCCAATCCCACGCTTATTCACAAGTGTCTCAGGTTACCTGGGCTCATGCCATCTGTCAAGAACAATAGACATGCTTATGTTGATATCATGTTGATAGCATCATACACGCAAAAAATCGCTTGAGTTGTTGATTTCAGCTTCATTTTTAAATCTTTGAGAGCAGGGGTTGCTCATCTAATGCTCTTCCTACCACCATCCCCTACCCCTCCAGTCATTCTTCAGGACCAGCAGATGAAAATGTGCAATAGCTTCTGCCCACCATAGGAATTCATTCATCTTTTCAGCTTATAGCAGAACACTTGATTGTAATGTTTAGCATCTGTTCCTGGGGGATGACCGCCCCAGTGAAGATCAGTAATAATGAATCAATAGTTCCATGATCATGGGTGATGCAGCAGAGCAACATGGTATGCTGAATAAATTGCCCCATGAATTGTTTCATCTCCCATTTCCTATATGTTCCTAATCTTGTTCATGTAGCCAAAAGAGTTTTACTGGGCTGAAATCAGAGGCCTCGCCATAGAGAGTAAGGGGTAAGAAAAAAAAGGAGCCCAAAGCGTATAGATTGAGGATACAAACCTCTTCAGATGCCCTCTTCCAGAGGCAAGTATTGAATAGGTAAGAAGAAAATTACCTTTCGTGTTGTTGTTTAAGCAAATATTCGGTTTTGCTATTCGTTTCAGATTTCAGGGAATTCAACTGATCCTCCATCTAAAAACAAATAACAGAGAACGAGATTTTATTTTTGTCTATGATTTTGTAACTTGCGAAGTGATTTCCACACAGCATTGGTGAGCCACAGCATAAATCTACTGTAAACATGGCTGAAGCTTTTTTTAAAAAAAGGACAACATTCCTATATTTGCCACCAATTCATAAATTCGCCTGTCAATAACAAACTGTGTAAGCATGATAGCTCCATGGATGTGACAGTAAGGTGCCCAAACCAGATCAAGCTGAATTTGATTTACAGTCTGTATTGTTAACTGGTCTCAGCCCTGGTGGAGGGGAGGGACAGAAAATAATATAATTGGTGTCCTCTACCAATGGTGAGAAAACCAGCTAAGACTCCTGATCCCAAACACCATCTGGGGGACCACGACTACTACAAGATACAAAGCTACCGCGCTGCTTTGCAGAACTAAAGCAAGAAAGGCATCACACTTGTGAAATGGTATAGAAATTGAAAACTGATCCCTACATCTACAATTTCACACCACTAATACGGGGTTCTCTCCCAGAGTATGCCAGCACTAACCGTTTAGGCAATAACACTTTCAATTATGTAAACTCTGCATTGTTTTTTATTATCCCATGCTTCTACGAAAGGGGACACCAAGAACAGTTCCAGGCAACCCAAAGTGCTTATATCAGAAACCATTGTAAAGCAAAGAGACCATTAGTCACTTACTGGACAAATTCTTGCTTTGAGGCAAGCGATATCACCTTCCAAGTCCCTCAGGACTTTTCCCACCGCTGTACCCATGTTCTGCACATGAATGTTGCAGATGTTTTCGTGTTCATACACCTTCTTGCCAGTGTTCTCTTCGTACCCCATTAGCGACTGTCGAATTTCGTTCAGCACACCATCAAATACTTGGGCCTTTTTCCTCAGTTGCTCAATCTGACAGTTGGCATCTCTGACAGTCTCATCTTGCATCCGATTCACGGTCTCAAGGTCCTGAACAGCGGTGTGCAGTTTGTTTATCAGTTCTCCGTGGTCCTGGCTCTCTTTTAGTCTGAAATATAATCCATACCTCCACTAATTTCAGCAATGGTTTCGGCAAGGTTCCATTAATCCTTAACCTGCCTATTCACTGATTTCTACTGTATTCAAGTGGATTTTCAGGTTTTCAGCAGGCTGAAGGTTAATATGTTCAAATCAATACCGGGCAAACAGACAAATGCATCACATTAAACTAGAGCTAAACAGAATCCTAGTGACTCAATGCTTCAAAAGATTTCCCACACGCAGCAAGCTCTCATCTGGGCAGCTATGCTGTGGGAAAATTCTCAGCAGAAACCAGGAGCTCCCACACAAGGAGGAAAGAAAACAATCACAGAGCCACTTGCTTTGTGATACTCTGCGTCTCCTAGCGGCTTGCAATAAAACAGCAATGATAGATGGCTGCGAACAATCATCTCAGTACCAGGCCAATACATATATGTATTTTGGGGAGGTGAAGAGTGAAAGAGAGGACATTTGGGGAGCTTGGCAATATTAATAGAAGTATAATGTACTTTCTCATCTCCAGAGAAAATTGCCAGGTTTGGTTAGAAATATTTAATGAACTCCAATTTGGCTGATCTGGTTTCCATACAGAGCAGACAAAGTGATAGACATAACATTAAATCTATTGAATACCACTGTGCCTCCAAATCGTCTATCAAAACATATTTGACCAGCCTGTCTGCTCTGCTAGAAGTTAATTTATTACATAATAAATTCCTTGTGCACAAAAAGGACTGCAAGCCATCGATCCCAATGAGAATTTTGAATTATGTCAATTACAAAGAACAAAGCTTGAGCAACTTATTGTCATCCAGATGCCAAAATGACAGTTAAAATTAGTGCCTTGGAACGATTACAGTGCATCATGCGATTTTACGTTTTAAAAAAAGGTAATGTTGACCCAGAGGTAATCATCAAGTGGAACTCATTTGTATTGCAACTCACACCCCCTTCACTAGTGGTGCACTTGGCAAATCTACTGCTCCATGTGCTCCAGGGTCTGTTATTGGTAGATCTGGAATTCAACTTTCTTCCCTTTGTTTTCCTTTTGCAGTGAAAGAAATCATACAAACACTAGCAAAAGACAGACTTATCCCAGCATCCATGCAGCAAATGAAAGTGTTGTATTGAAACCCTAGGATTTAGAACTTTAGTTCAATAATTAGCCCTTTAGAACACACACACACACACACATTTATATACCATACACATAATTATTTTCTAGCCAGAAAGAATCTGAGCTCAATTTGGGAAGCACCTGTGGTGGAATTGCTGAGGTCATCTTAACACATTTTGTCCATCACTCCACAGTGCAGTTGGTTGGTACATTTTCTTGAATAGCTCTCGTACAGGAGTGGGAGTGGGTAGCAAGTGGGATTTTTGGGCCGTGATAAAAGTGAGCAACACTGCTTTGAAGTCTATGGCCTGACATTTTGGGTGTGTTTCTTTTTGTTAGTAGAAGATGTCAGGGTCAATAGACTCAAATGTAAATAAAGGCCTAATAATTGTGAGGAGGCAGGAAAGAGAAAGGAGAGAGAGAAAACCAAAATAATGACAGTGAATGTACTTTGGAAACTATTTTTAACTGCACTTACCTGACATCAACAAGATTATCTCTCTCTGCCTGTACGTCCTGTAGTTTATTCTGCAAGTCCATCATTGATTGTCGAAAGCTAAGTTTCTGCTGTCCGTGACATTCATCATGCTGCAAAGAGAGCATACAAATAGACAGGATCTCGTTGTATACGATTGGTTCATACTTTTCGTAATTCAAGGTAAGTACAAAGAACATGATTTTTCAATAAACAATGAACCCAAGAATAACAGATCCATATGATGTGTCAGCTGCAATACGAAGGATTGAAATATTAGATAGGGCAAAACAATCGATCAGAAGTCATCATTAAAATCTTGCAAACGGGTGTGTTTGTGTCATGTCTCAAAATCTGGATCCATTCAACGATGCGTGCGAGAAAGATTCTGCCAGAGGAGGATCGCATTGGCAGTAAGAAGCAGAATCTTATTTCTGGTCCAAATGATACTCTTGTGCATCTCCTAGTGGCTGGCAATAAAACACCACTAGCAGAAAACAACACCAACAGAAGCAACCAGCCCATCTGGGTCAGACCAGGGCAATACATACACGCAGAGGAGTTTTGGAAGGGGAAGGGAGAGAGACAAATTTGTACAATATTCAATGCAATTTTACATAGTCAGATAAATGGCCAGGTAATTATTGTTTATTTTAAATTTCCTTTGCTGTTTCTCTCTTTCTCGTTTCCATTTCTCATTGCAACTGAACTTTCATTCTTTCACTTTGGTTTTGTCACCATTTCTTTTACCTCTAAATACCTTCCAGAATCCCTACTGCTGCCATACCATACCACAAACGGATGTTGTTTCCACATGGTCGTGCAATTATGCATTAGCAGAGTTATTTGTTTTAACTGCACAACATGTGAGAGAACAGTTTCAGACCAAAGAGTTCTTTATTGTCCTACATCAAACATTTTTTTAAAAAGAAATAACTATGTGAATTAATAGTGTGAATGACCACAAGAACCAGCATGTGGAATCCAGATATATCATGAAGCAGCAACTAATAACGATTTTTTAAATTAAAGGTTAATTACAGTTTACCCTGAATATCAACCAGAATTTATCTTTTAAAAATCCTTTGGAATTTTGACTGGGCAAGATTAGAAATTGGAGTATGGAAGATTAGGTAGGCCAGTGTATTTGCACATAGTCCTTTTATATCTGGAACTGAGATTTGATCTAATTGATGGGATGAAAGACCTCTCAGGTTGTAAAGGATCATTATGTAATAAGTGTTTGGGCATAATGTCAATTAAGAGCTCAATACAATCCCAGTGGCCATAGCAACATATGCCTCAAGAACATTTAGATGGTATAAAGCAATGGTTTACTGGACTAATCCTCGCCTGAAGGGGTTCAGCTAGGCTGAGAGACTGGGTCGACTGGTGTTATATTCCTTAGAGCAAAGGAGGTTAATTGAACCTGGGGACGTCCTCCCGATGTGAAAGGCGCTGTACAAATGTAACTTGTTGTTAAGGGATAATATGATTGTCACATTTAAAGGAATTGACAGGTAAAATATTGAATGACTCTTTCCCTTTAGTTCTAATTGCGTCAGCTCTGATTTTAAGGCTATATTCCTTATAATTCTCCTTGGTACAAAGGGTATAGCCTTAAAATGAGAACTAACTTAGTTAGAACCGAGGTCAGGAAGAATTTCTTTACACAGAGAGTTGTGAAGCTGTGGATTGCTCTGCTGCAGGAAAGCTGTAGACATGAATACCTCAATAATGGTGGTGTAAAGCGGCAAGGCATTGGGATTAAAAGATCTGCCAAGAATAGGCTCAATGGGCTGAATGGCCCTTTTCCTGTTCCTTTATGGACTTCACCCGTGGCAGAATTTTCCTAGACCTACACGATTCTTGTAAACTGCGGAAATCCTGACTCAAGAATAAATGTGGATAATATTTATCATAAAGGCTCATTCTCCTATGGCATTTCCAAAATATCTGCCCTCAGTTCTCAGCTGCTATTATGTTGCAAGGTATGGTGCAGTCGCGAGGAGTAAGGAGAAACAGATAAAATCAGATACAAACTGAGAAAAGAAGCAATGAAAAGAAAATGGTAAATTGCTCTACTTTTGTTCCAAACATTTTCCTCCATCCATAATCTCATACTGGATGTATTTCCATAAACCATACCCTGTACAAATGAATCAGGTTGCATTTCATCATCCATACACAATTCATATTAATAAATTATTATGTTTATAAAGTCAAATAAATATTTGAGCGCTAATTTACTTCACTTAATCTGCTTTGTAAATGTTGTACCTCATGTTCGTAACTGTCTACTGATTTATCTAGACACGTTGCTCCTAAGGATGGCATATTCTTTCTGGATACAAAAAAATCCAGGTCATATTTAGTTGACTGTGGAGATTTAGAGAAGGGACATTTTGAGACAGAAGCCTGAAGCACTGAGCTGCGGTAAGGAGATCTCAGGTTTTGGAAGGTTGAGGTGATAGAACCTGAAAAAACAATTTTAAAGTAAGTTTACATCCACAATCATATTGTACATTATTAAAACAATCTTCTGCCAAACCAATCACACCACCAAGTACAACCTTTGATCAGTTCACAATATCACAAGGGAGGTCAGATGAAGAAGTCTCTTTGCCCTATTTGATCTTATCCTTACATAATATCCACCCTACCATTACACCATAAAGATGTGTCAAACAAATCCATCATCTGGCCTCAAGTACCCTTCCTGGTAATGAACTCCAGTTGTTAATTACCCTCTGTATAAATAAATAATTCCCAGTACCTGCTTTGAAATTACCCTTCACAACCCTGAACCTGAGTCCTCTTGTTCGGTGGTCTTGTCATATCAGAAAGTATTATTCTGGGTTTACTTTCTCAATCCCATTTAAAATATGTAAACAATCGGTCACCGAAAGGGTCTAAAGAAAACATCTACCATACCGAGTTCCCATTAAGTTAAGAGTTCCAAACTGTTCTTAAATTTGCTTTGAACACCTGTTTATGAGTAAGATTCACTTGTTTTTGGTTAAAACATATTGTAAACCCCAATGGTCTTGTGAGCAAAGCCAATGAGGTTATGGCAAATTGTCCTCAGCACCCGGGATTAGGCAGGATGTATTCACATAAGGTTCAAGCCCCTAATCACAATCCAGTAACCATATATGTAGAATTTAACTGAGGACAAGATCCGGAAATCACAAATAAAAGCATGTATTTTAATAAAACAGGGCATCATTTTTTTAATATAAATTGGACGTGGTTTCCCCCTGTATGTGAAGGCAATATCCAATAAAAATAAAAGGTGAATACAATCAATTTCTCATATCTTTACAATGTCGTTTTGGGCTTAAAACTAAGTTCTATAAGGTCTCCTAAAGTTCAAGCGTGTTCACCAAAATGTTAACACAGAACCTTTCCTTCCTTCTGACCACAAAAAGCATGAGCACTGTACATGCAAATAACCCATTATAAATATATTAAAGAATCAAGACTACCTCCCCCAGAGGGAGAGAGTGCACATTCCATTCCAAACATGGGAATTTCCATGTAAAGGTGGTACATAACTCTCAGTTTGATTTGGATACTCTTAAGCATTGTGATGAGTTTTCCACATGTGTCAAGACACCCGGCTGACCAAAAGAAAATCCCATGGGAAATTGGACACGTCAGTACGTACGTTCTGCTGATGGTGTGTCATTGAGGCTACTTGATAATTCATCAAGATTGCAATCTCTAGCCTTGTTAAATGTCCAGCTGAATTTGTCCATTGTTAACTTTGAAGCACGTTCCACCTCTTCCTGGAGTTTTTTCGTTTCTTGGGTTTGCCTTTCCAGTTCTTTTCTGTTGACAATGAGAATAAAAATATGGTGTATAATGTGAAGCTGAAATTGTTTGTTAGAAAATGCAACTTGCATTTCCAGTGATGGAATTCCACTTTGGAGAGAACTTGAATTTTGACACTTGCTATCTAAATCCAGCTCTGAGAACCAGGTTGAGAACGCCAATAGGCTGAGGAGACTGACATAACCAAAATTAATTTCAAACTCTAGAAGTAAAACAACTTACCAAGCAAGTCTAGACTCCATAGTCTTGTGCTAAATTGGTAGTTTTCATACCGAAAGATATGGATTAGCAGACTAATGTCAGGGCTATTCTTCATTCTATACTGTAGTACAAATGTCATTGATGCGAATCAATTTACCCAGTTGTTTAATAACATAATCTAACTGGCATTTCCTCAATGATATCTCCGAACCAAAGGAATTTGGAGCTGGCAACATCAAACAGCCTAATTACTTTATTGAAAATAAACCTCTGTCATAACTTTGATGATCTCAAATAGGAGGAAGCTGACACAACATAACTAAATTAAGAATCTATGATAATTGTATCAAATAGATCAGTGAATACCCTCCTTGGAATGTAAAAGTAAATATGCATAAAACTAAAAACAAATATTTTTCTCACTGAGATCCTACGTAAAGGGCTGAGGCCCATAGTCAGTGTACCAACGAAGTTGAAACTTGCAAAAAATAGCATACAAGTGAAGAGGTGGTATTAGTAGTAGTTAGATAATTCTAACCTTGGGTAAGAAGATTGTAGCAGGAAGTTCTACAGTTTTGAGGTCCTATAATAGTTAGAGCTAAGAGTAGGAGAGAGTGCAATGAATCTTCTTTTTAACACAGCGAGGATGAAAGAAAAGTGTCACCTCAGCAAGGAAGAACATGAATGTTGATAGCATCTCAAAATGATAACACCTTTTGAATTACTCTCTAGTAACCGTTTTTGTAGAAAAATGTGACAGTCATTTTGCTCCAACAAAGTTCAACCAACAGTTAAAAGATGAATGATCACGCTTATCCAAGGAATACTGGGAAAAACTCCCTTCTATTTTCACATAGGGTCATGGCATCTTTAACGTCCTCCTGATCAGGCAGACAGGTCGAAGCACGATGTGGAACTTGAACCCACAACGTTCTGACTTAGAAGGAAGAAGAAGGAGTACTAGCACCCGAGCACAGCTGACATTTGAATACCGAGTGGAAGAGGTCATTGATGTAATTAATGTAACCTTAATTTAATAACCACCTCTGGGTAAAGTATGCAATTAATTTTTCTTTTGGGAGAAGGGCTGTGCGGGTTAGCATAAGGTTTCCTTCAGATATTCAGATGGCCTTATAAGAAGTAAATCACGTGTACAGTTTAGAATCAAACTAACCCTGAAACGCCACAGGTGTATTTGCACATGGTAATTGAACCCAACACTAACCTCAGTTCCAATAGATTCTTGGCTGGTCTTGGGTTGGCGCATAAATCTGGAAAGAAAAAAAAATTGATTATTTACAACTGTTTACTTTGGCATTACAATTGCATTTGTAATGGATCTGACCCCTAATTTACAAATTTTAATATAAGCTCCTCTGATGTCTCAGCGGGTTTATTCAATGAGCAGCTCAGCCCTACAAATCAAACAGTCCCAGGCTTCAGGGTTGGGAAGAAATAAACCAAGTTGGCTTAGCAATAATCAAGATGGCAACCAAATGTTCTCAATTGGGCTTCAGACCAAATTATTGTAAGGAAGTTGGGCGGGTGGGGGGGAATGGGATGGGGAGGTCAGTGTCTCAGCCAATCTTTAGATGGATAGAAAGATGTTATGTTTCATAATTAACTCATGAATAATCATAATTATTACACTGAATCTGTTATGAAACATTATATTGTTTTTAGCAAGGCTTGATTCCATCTTAAATAGATTTGTATGTAAATTCAATGTTTCTGCAATTCTGAAAGTGTAAGATTACAAAGAATATACTGTAATATGGAATAATTACATAGCACTGGAAATAAAATGTCTTTACCATTGATACTGTAAATAGGACACATATTTTCTAAATTAAAACAATGTGATCGAGCTGCACCAGATGAATGTGACACTTCAGCTCATAATCAGGCAGAACCACCAGAGGCCTCGTCCAAAGTGCTTCACAGGATTTTACTGTAAAATGCAGCGACTGAGAGATTTGTGAATGAACACAGCAGCCAAGTTGTTCAAGTATTCTCCACAAACAGCCAATTTTATCTGTGGGGAATTGTTGGCCAGGACACAGGGCGATACTCCTTTCTCTTTTGAATAGTGCCATGGGATGAGATCTTTAACATCCACATGAACAGGCAGACAGGGTCTTGGTTTAATGTCTCTAGATCATATCTACTAGATATAATTTGCTTGAGATTTTCAAAAGTTTGACAACTGAGGCTGTTTTCAAAGTAGCAAATTAGATAGCTGGAATTGAAAATTCCCTTAGTGTCTGGAAGAGGAGGGTAACTAAAATTGTTGTGTATTTACAAAATAAAAACCTGGGTATTTTTTCCATGGTCAGGGAGAAAAATCAAAGGAATTTACCTCCATCCCCAAAAAACACCTTGCTCCAATGTAAATTCTGTCAATAAACACATTATACAACGCAGATAAGATGGTCCCAGCATTACAACACATTCCCAGAACTGGCATTGCAACCAGGCAGGATTTGAGGTGTATGTGTACCATCACAAAAACCAAATAAAATTCTGGTGAAAATAATTGTTTTACTGATTTTTTTTCACCAAAGAGGTGTGTATTGGTAACAAACAACTAAACGGTCCTAAGAAGAAACTAATGATAATTGAGTCAAACTGTCTTGGTTAGCGCAGTGATGAGTGGTGTTATACGGGTATGTTCTGGGTGCCTTGCCATTTGCACTACAGTAATCACAGACAATCACAAGGCAATGTCTGTATGAAATGTACAAAAATACCAAAGGGTAGACTGACAGTGTTCAAAGCTAAGTGTATGAGCTACAAAGCTAAAGATGGATTGTAATGCGGAAATTCACACTGTAACAGATTACATTATGAATAGCACACAATAATGGAGCAATTATTGGATTGGTAAAGTTAGAAAAGAGAATTGTTTACAGATTGGTTTGAAAATATTCAAGAAAACATAAAGCAGCAACCAATGATGCTAGACAAAATACCAGGGTGCCCCTCAAGGTCATATGTAACAAGATATTTTAAGCTTGTATTGTTTATTTCTGAAGCCACAATTGAATGCAGTGGTGGAGACTCTCCCTTCAAAAGAACATTGAAGCATTGGAGAAAATTAAGAGAAGAGGGGCATAGATGATTTTGTGACTTAAAAATTCATACGAGGCTATAGAGCTGAACATATATTCACTGTAGAGGAGACACACAAATGAGCACAAGGAAGACAACTGAGATAATTGAAATACTAAATGGTATGGACAATCCAAATGTATGCGCCTTATTTATTGTTGAATAATTGATGAACTGGAGGACACAAGTAGAAAGCTAGAAAGCTTTCAGGCTGGAGATTAGGGGGAAAAAATCCTCTTTTAGAAAACAGCAGATATGTGGGACAGATTCCCAACAAAAAGTAATTATTACCATGCTGACTGACTCCTTCACTAGATATTCACATAGCTGCTTTTAAAGAGCAGGATTAAGTTATTCGGATGAATAAAATAAATATTTGAGTAAATTCAGAACATTATGAGTGAGGTTCCCCTACTGTTGGCCCAAGGAAATGCAATTTGTGGAAGTTGCATAATTTGCTTCAGTGAATAACATAGTATCATTGAAAGTTATTTGCATCCCAAGGGGGTGGAGGAGGAGAGGAATTTTACCTACTTGGTTCCTGATTGCCCTGAAAACTAACGTCTTAACAGGTAGGCTAGGCCAGACTTTACAAATGGCATTGGAGGAACAGAATGCTAATGCTGCTAAATTGTGAGGAAACATGCAGAAAGTTGCAGGAGAGCAAAAAATAATTATCATTAATGGGCAATTCATAGTTGAGAAATGTAAAATAAATAGCATTTTGGTAAAAACAAGAAAGAAATGTTATACTTCTTAAAAATGTTGAGGAACAGAGACATCTATATAAGAATAATCTTTGCACTGGAATGTGGTGTACTGGAAGTGAAAAACTAATTGGTCAGTGGTTCTTTCCATGGGAAAACTGATGGGCTAATGGCCTTTTCCTTTCATGACCTGTTGATAGGTTGCTTATTCAGCTGTACAGAGCCTTGGTCTGACCTAATCTGGAGTGCTGTGTTCAGTTTTGGGCACCCCACCCCAAGAAAGAGATACTGGCCCTATAAGTGGTCCAGTGCAGATTCACTAAAATTGTAACAGGGCTTAAGGGCTTAAATTATGAGGACAGGTTGCATACACTTGGTCCAAGTATTCTCTTCTGTTTAGAAGATTGAGGGATCATCTGATTGAGGTGTTTAAAATAAAAAAGGGATTCAAGAGGGTTGATTCAGAAAAAAACAATTTCCTCTGGTGGGGGAATCCAGAATGGGGGCATAATTTAAAATTTAGGAGTGAAATCAGGAAGCATTTTTGTGGAAAGGGTAGTGGAAATCAGGAACTCTCTCCCCCGAAAGCCTGTGGATGCTGGATCCATTCATATTTTCAAGACCGAGGTTCGATGCAATTGAATTAAAAGAAGGCTTGCACCGGTGTAGCATGTGCATAAAAGCTACAGCTGAGTGGGGAGCTCCCTGGTTCAAATCAGTGCTGAGTTTCCTCGTCTCAGCCAGGAGTGCACGAGGAGGTTAAATGGGTCCTGGCCTCAAGGTTAGAGAGAGGAAAACAGCCAGGTTTCCTGTGGTTTCTTTACTGTGCAGGTGTGCAGCAGTTGGGCGGGGAGAGGCTGGGCTACCTTCTACGTTGAGTGTCCGGCTGCCAAGATACATACATGAACAATGACCACATAGCAAAGTATCAGACAACTAGTAACTCACAACTGCACCCCAACAAGTGGAGGCCAAAATAGGAGCAAAGAAAGATGTGTATGCCAGTGGAGAGAAGATTAGAAAAATAATTTATATTACTAAGTTTATATAACATTACATTTATATTTAAAAAGCCACACAAAACTGGAGGATTTCCTGGGCATAATCTTAGTTTTCTTTACAATTCATATTTTGCTTAAAAGACGATGGCGCTAGTCGATGGGCAGCTGCATTAGCAGCAACTGAAGAATGGGAGTCAACTATCCTTAAAGAGAGGAAATAATCAATTTGTGTATTAAACTAGGATGTCACCCTAGTTGTTAAATCAATACACCATCTCTCATGACCTCTCTCATAACCTCTTCCTCTTTGTTCGATATTATTGCCAAAGTCTCAGTGATTCACTGGCAAATGCGCAGGATAAACACAGCATTCGGTGATTTCAATCAGCAGCTAAAATGTGGCAAAATAATAATCAAGGCACTCGCTCACCTTTAGCTTTATATGGGGTAATTCCTTCCTTTCCTGTTTCTGAGGCATGTAGACTGGGCTGACAAGAGTCAACAGATGATAATAAACGTCCACTAGCCCCTAGTAAATGAACAGCAACATAAAATTGGATTTGTTACAGTATAGACACCATTGTACTTTCTCAGTATCAAACCGGGTTATAAAATGTTATGTATACAACAACAACAAGATTACATTTGTATAGTGCCTTTCATGTCAGGACACAAAAACAAAACAATACGTAGTTTCCTTCTAAGCAGTAACATGCTCTTTCTTAATGAAATTCATACAAAATGGATGTAATGGTTTAGCAAAAAACAGAAACTGGGCTTGAACACTGAATTGGTTCCAAAGTCCACACATCCTTCATGTGATTTGGATCTACAGGAAATATTAATCTCGATTAGACCAGTGAGGAAAGGCAAAGAAGTAAATGATGGATGGGTTATTTGTACAGTATGAATCTGATGTAAGCGGTCAATAGTTTATCAGCAATCTCCGATGATGGGAATTGAGTATTGCCAAAGTAGTGCTGAGAAATACTGAGAAATCATGAGTACAACCACAAGAGATGACAGAGGAAATAATCAAAGAAAAATCAAACACAAGGGAAATGTAAAACTCAGGAGAATGACTTAATAGTTAGTGTATAGCACAAAGAAGGCACAAGCAAAAGGCAAAGGTGAATAAGATGGTCAGGGAGCCAGTCAATCCAGTATATGCTTAATCCAATATTTGGTAAAAAAAAAGTATTGCCTTTGCCAGAGGCCTGGGTACAGCTCTATTGGGTGAGGAATGTTGTGCACTCAGGGAAAAAACATTCAATAGAGAAAATGTTTGAATTGCAAGGTGTACTGTACACTACAATGACGCTATCATCACTACTAGTTCTTTAGTTCCAACTCACTTAAGCGGCAAGACTTCAAAAGCTCAAACTAGCAAATTATAAATACATAGTATAACATCCACTTACACTGTAATTGTAAGCCCTACCCATTTCCAACACAAATCACATTTTCAGCGACAATGCTCAAGTCTGTAAAATCGGGACAATGTTATATTTCTAAGTCTGAATTATGTTTTTTTTGATCACGGAACATAAAGGCCTCAATTTTTTTTAAAAAAACCTTAATATATCTTTTCTTTCCTCATTAGCTCTCTTTCCTGACCCTATGCATCTCCCCAATGCATAATAAAGGGGTTCTACTCAAAGATCACCCTGGCAAAGAGTTGCTCGAGAATGGTTTGGGGACACTGGTCTGAGTCCCCCTTCCCACAACACACAATTACCCCATAGAAGAATTAGGGGAAATCTTATTGAAACATATAAGATTCTTAAAGGGCTGATAAAGCAGCCACTGAGGGTCTGTTTCCCCGGTAGGAGAATCTATAACCAGGGGTCACAGTCTTAAAATTAAGGATCAGCCTTTTAGAACAGAGTTGAGGAAACATTTCTTCACTCAGAGGGTAGTGAATTTATGGAATTCTCTACCCCAGAAGGCTGTAGATGCTCAGTCCTTGAACATATTCAAGACTGAGATTGATAGATTTTTAAAAAATAGAGGGATTAGGGCATAGGGCAGGTAATTAGAGTTAGGTCTGAAGATCAGCCATGATCTTATCAAATGGCGGGGCAGGCTCGAGGGGCCGAATAGCCTACTCCTGCTCCTAATTCTTATGTTCCTATGTTCTTATATTAGCAAGTCTATTGAGTGGTCGCGCTTATCAAAATAACTCTGGACCAATATAGCCTATGGGACAAGATAGGTCATTCATGGATCTGTTCTATTATCGGAGTTTCTTCATCTTTTGAGGAATGATTCTGCAAGCATTTCCCTACCCCAATAAAAGTATATCAACTATATTTCAGAAGGATTAACTTTGTGACACTTCGAGTTAGTGGTTTTATTTATTTTAAATTAAGTGTTAAACTTTACAAAATATTGTGATGTTCACATATAACTCTGCCCATTGACTACTACAGTTCAGACCATGACTTCATATCTTTGTGACATCAACAAATTGAGGGGACTTATTCTCAATCCTCATATATCTCATCTTCAGCAGGGAAGATCATTCTCCAACCAATCTCATTTTAGAACTTAAATCAAGGTTGTCACATCAGTTTCACATTGAACAGAATAATTCGGTGCAGGAATGACAATAAGGGTGTCATAGTAAATAGTGAACTTCAGATGGTGGAACTTGAAAAATTAAGCTGGAGTTTTATTTTTCTAGTTTTTAATGCATGTTAAAAATAAAAAAACAGGTATTTCTTACCGTTATAGTTGGACTGCAATGGCAAAACGTGGGGGACAGGGTGCAATGATGGGGTTGTGACATTGTGACATAGTTCATAAAAATAATCAGGTCATGCAATTAAACAGCAGAGTATAACAAGGGAATTATTTTTACTTGGGAGGTAAATGCTGAAGTTTTCATTTAGTATACACAGTGATGGTAACTTTGTTCAGTTACAATTGTAAATTCATGATAGGATGTTTTTCATGCTCATCCTATTTTTAAAAAAGAATTCCCCTCCCAGGTCTTTGTACACAGGATGCCATTCTTGGCCAGTCAGCGAATGACTTGCTCATAATCCTCTGTTTTTACATCCCTTTCTTTTCATTCAACATCCTCCAGAAAGCACAATTTATTTTGTTTATAAAATATCTCTCTGTCTGTGCCTTTGATCAGTATCTTTGTTTCAGAATGAAATATTCCTTCAGATACAATGTTTGTGGGTTGCTCATATGGTCTTGACATGAAATCTATTGAACAGTAATCATTTTCAAGCAATCACTGGAAAATTAAGCTGAAAACATTTGAGCTGATGTTTCAAAAATATTTTCCCACAACTTGAACTCCTATGCACTCCACATAAATTTCAGTAAAGAGTTCATGGCTTAGAATTAACTTTTCCAAAATCATCCGAGCAATCATTCCCGTAATAAAGAGCATAAATACATGTCTCAAGACCTACTATCTCTTTGACCGCCCTTTCAGTCATCTCTCCCCTCCCCACCTCTCTTGGCTCCCATCCCAGCTCAGGTGCCCAGACCGTAATGTTGAGTGCTTTGGGATGACCTCCCGACATGTGAGGCGTAAATTTGTATTGGTTATACAATTAATGCACCATATTTTATAGCTCTTGCTCTGCTCAGAGACCTGAGTTATTCTCTTACCACAACCATTGACAATTGGTCTCAGTATCTCTCTTTTGAGACGAAGGGGTGGGTGGGGTGGAGCAAAATTAAGATTCTAGCTCTGATCTCTATAGTGATCTCTCTCTAACAACAACAACAACAACTCGTATTTATACAGCGCCCCTCCCACAGGGTAGTGCCCCAGAGCGCTTGACAGTGGCTGAGCACAACACCGAGCCGGGGTGGGGGGTGGGGGGAGGTGACTGTAAGAGCGGTTGAAGAGAAAGATCTTCAGGTGCAACCTGGAAATGGGGACGGAGAGAGGGAAAGCGCGGCCGCCGACGGTGGAACTAAGGGCACGAGGGACAAGCGGAGGCCGGGGCCGGAAAACCGTTAGCATAAGCCATGAACCCCCCCCCTCTCCCTCTTTACTGGAAACTGGGATGAAGCCCATCACACCGCGGATACAAAGAAAAAAAAAGTTTGTGGAACAAACGGGAGGAGCTGTTCACTGGGGGGGACTGACTGATCGGCAGCGACATCACTCATCTGTTGGAGCGCTTCCCCCTCGGGGTGTGGGGGGGTGTGGGGGGGGGGGGACCATCGCGCCTTTCACCCACCATCACTAGCGCTGGGCATTTCGAAAGTAACGACCCCCCCCCCTCCCCGGGCTCCCTGCCCCCCCCCCCCCCCGGGCTCCCTGACCCCCCCCCCCCCCCCCCCGGGCTCCCTGACCCCCCCCCCCCGGCCGGCTGCCCCCCCGGGCTCCCTGTCCCCCCCCCCCGGACTCCCTGACCCTCCCCCCCCCGGGCTCCCTGACCCCCCCCCCCCGGCCGGCTGCCCCCCCCCCGGGCTCCCTGCCCCCCCCCCCGGCTCCCTGCCCCCCCCCCCGGGCTCCCTGACCCCCCCCCCCCGGGCTCCCTGTCCCCCCCCCCCGGACTCCCTGACCCTTCCCCCCCCCCGGGCTCCCTGACCCCCCCCCCCGGGCTCCCTGTTCCCCCCCCCCCGGGCTCCCTGTCCCCCACCCCCGGGCTCCCTGACCCCCCCCCCCCCGGGCTCCCTGTCCCCCCCCGGGCTCCCTGACCCTTCCCCCCCCCCGGGCTCCCTGACCCCCGGGCTCCCTGTCCCCCCCCCCCCCGGGCTCCCTGTCCCCCACCCCCGGGCTCCCTGTCCCCCCCCGGGCTCCCTGACCCCCCCCCCGGCCGGCTGCCCCCCCCCGGGCTCCCTGTCCCCCCCCCCCGGGCTCCCTGTCCCCCCCCCGGGCTCCCTGTCCCCCCCCCGGGCTCCCTGACCACCCCCCCCGGCCCTGCCCCCCCGGGCTCCCTGTCCCCCCCCCCGCCGGCTGCCCCCCCGGGCTCCCTGACCCCCCCCCCCCCCGGCCCTGCCCCCCCCGGGCTCCCTGCCCCCCCCCCCCGGGCTCCCTGCCCCCCCCCCCCCGGGCTCCCTGTCCCCCCCCCCGGGCTCCCTGTCCCCCCCCCCCCCGGGCTCCCTGTCCCCCCCCCCCCCGGGCTCCCTGTCCCCCCCCCGGGCTCCCTGACCCCCGGGCTCCCTGTCCCCCCCCCGGGCTCCCTGCGCACCCGCTAAACAAACACAGCGAAGCGAAGGGGCCACCTGTGCAGTGGCTGCGGGACCCGCCCGACCGCCCCGACTCACTCTGTGGGAAGCGGGGGGTCGGTTTGTGAAACTCGGGGGCGGTGCCGCTGACGGGCAGCCCGGCCTTTATGAAGTTGTAGCTGCTCCTCAGCCGGGCCAGGGTCTCACTGTCCGGCCCGCTGGCTTTGCTGGATTCCGACGACGACATCTTTCTCCCTCTCTCTCTCCCCCCCTCTCCCTCCCTCTCTCTCCCCCCTCCTCTCTCTCCACCCTCCTCTCTCCCTCTCTCTCCCCCCTTCCCTCTCTCCCCCCACCCCTCCCCCTCCCTCTCTCTCCCTCCCTCTCTCTCTCTCCCCCCACCCCTCCCCCTCCCTCTCTCTCCCCTCTCTCCTCCCTCTCCCCCCACCCCCCCCCTCTCTCCCCCCAAAAAAGGATCACCGAACGACGTAATAAGAGGACGAAAGGTTCCCCTCTCGCCGCCGGGGGATAACTCCCCCCCCAATAGTCTTCAAGTAGAAACGATTTGCGAACCGAGTTCCAACTTTTTTTTTGGCTTATAAAAATATTTCAAAAATAAATAGCGTCCAAAGTTTAAACGTTTCTATGTAAATATATATATTATATATATATCTCTGTATGTACACGATCCCAGCGGGAAGTTCAACAGTCCAGGAGACTTTTTTTTTAAAAAAACCCACAGAGAGAGAGAAGCGGCTTTAGGTTCTCTCAGATTGAAAATAATAAATATTTAGATAAATAAGTGGGACCCAGGGATGTCCCGCCCTGAGTGCGCCACCAGACCAGACCGGGTCTCCGCTCAGCACAGACACAGGCAGAACGCCGGCCCGCGGCGACCACGCTTGTTGCCCGGCAACCGCCTTCCAATCCCGCCCCCTTCCTCTGTGACATCACACACCCGCCGCCGCTCCCCGCTCCAATCCCGCCTCCCCTTCCTCTGTGACCTCACACACTCCCGGCTCCAATCCCCCCCTTCCTCTGTGACCTCACACACTCGCCGCTCCAATCCCCCCCTTCCTCTGTGACCTCACACACTCCCCGCTCCAATCCCCCCCTTCCTCTGTGACCTCACTCACTCGCCGCTACAATCCCCCCCTTCCTCTGTGACCTCACTCACTCGCCGCTCCAATCCCCCCCTTCCTCTGTGACCTCACACACTCGCCGCTCCAATCCCCCCCCCTTCCTCTGTGACCTCACGCACCGCCGCGCCACGCGTATGCCCCGCGCTCGCTTTCAAACGCGCTTTCCCGTGATGCACTCTGCGGGACTGCTGAGAGCCTTGTCAACAGGACAAGGTTGGTGTCTGGGTGGAGAAGGACCTTCAGACCACTTGATCTCAGCCCCCATTCCTCCTCCAGTCACTGCATCATGCTGCTTTTTAAATGAATGCCAAGGGTACAGACTCTCCACTGTCCAGTGCATTGGGACATCCCCTCTGCCGAAAAAGGCAATATATAATAATAATAATTATATACTGTAAATACGATTTATTATTGTTGAATCCAATGTCCTGACCTCTGTCACTCTTACTAGCAACCTGTTCCAGTCGTTGATTACCTTCTGACTTTATTTTCTCTGGTGATTCTGCATAGGGGAAGGTTCGCTTAAACCGGGGTGGGGTGGGGGGCAGAACTTGCAACGTTGATTTTAATAATAATAATAAAATTACATTTGCCTTAAAGTGTTGTTGAAATGTCTCAAAACAGATCACAGGATTTATAATAGTCTTTGCATCTGATACATGAGCCTTATCAAATATATATATATTATCAAATTTTTTCAAAGAATTTTGAATTATTTACTGTAAAATGTAATGACTATCCACTTTGTAGATCAACAAATTATAATCCTTTCATGATGGAGGATGTCTCAAAGTGCTTCACAGGATTTACTGTAAAGTGTGGTGACTTGCTCAGTTCAGTATGCAGAGAGCTTTTCTCAGTTCCCATCAGGAACAATTCAGAACAGCTAAGAATACATCAGGCATTCCTACTGCTATTGGAAGAAATATCAAAATTTCTTCTGCAGTATTAAAAGAGAGTAAAATCTTTGTGAGCTCTGCCAGGATGGTGGAAGGCGAGTGAGATGGACTTTGGTCTTTCGCCTAGCAAATTTTTATATTCTTATATTCTGTGTTGATCTTAATCCCTAAAGTGATAGCTTGGCATAGTAATGGTTCAAGCCTCATGTTGGCACCTAAGTTCATAGTCTTGGCTGACACTGCTGTGGTACTGAGGGTGGGCTTTTTGGACATGCTGATTGTCCTGTGGACGAGGTATTAAATATTAAACCAAGGCCCCAGGAGGTTCTCAGGTTAATTTCTGAAAGAGCTGTCTTTTTTGTCCCATTCTCCTGTTTTTCCCCATGTAAGTCAATATGGATTTTGCCTTAAGTGTTGTTTTAAGTAAGGCATTCACATACTAACAAACAACTGCATTCTACTTCTCAAAGTGAATCAGAATATACTGTAAAGTGTAGTGATTGTGTATTTTGTAACATGCCAACCAATTTGCACATCCCAATCTTTCACAAATTTTCTTTCCAAATAGTTCTATGGGATATTTAACATGCATCTAAGGAGCAGATCCAACCTCAGTTCAACGTTTCATTTGAAGGACAACACCTCAAAGTATGGAGTGCTCCACCAGCACGAGATTACAGACCAGTGGTGGTCAAGCCATGGCCCATGGACCACTTCAGCGGAGCTGTCAAGAAGTGGCCTGTCGAACAGTCGCACTAGTCTAGGTAAGTCTGTTTTAAATCAAGCTTTTGGTTCCATCTTTTTCTTGATTGAACATTTCTTGATTTCTGGGATAAATTCAAAGATCTAATAAGGGGCTTGAACATACAATCTTTTGACTCAGTGGTGAGAGTGCTACCAACTATGCCTGTTTGCCACAAGATTGTGTCCTCTTGTTTTGAAGCAACAATAACCTTATTCTCAACTGATGTCCATTCACATACACCTCCAGCAGGGATCACTGGATTGTAGCACAAACCAGAAAAGTGAACTTAGTGATGCTGCAGCTGTCAGGTAATTCTTGAAATACACTCCAGCCAGTCATCTATTTTATACCAGGGTCTATAGGAGTTGGCATTGTTGTAATTTTGGCAGAATGTCTTATGATTTCAGCAGGTGTTCTTTCAGATAATGAGTACCTTGGGAATATAGGAAGACAAGGAGACCATTCAGCCCATCAAACATGTTCCACCACTTTATTAAATCATGTCAGATCTTATAATCCCATTTCTGCCTTCCCCCATCCCTCATCCTTGAACACCCTTACTTCCCTAACTCTCTTTTAAACATCCCAATCGGATTCTGCCTCTTCAGCCTTTTGAGGCAGTGAAATTCACATTTGCACATCCCTCTGCTTGAAACATTTCTCATTCTTCTTACAACCAACAACAACTTGCATTTATATAGCACCCTTCACGCTGAACAGCATCTCAGAACCATCCTAGTTCTTGTTATAAGATTTTGTCCTCTTGTTTTGGAATTCTTAGTCTGGTTTGGATACTCTTAAGCATGATGATGGGCTTCCGCATGTGTCAGCCCTCAGACACAGAGGACCCACCCCCTTTAAGATGGCATCTCTAGGAAGACGCCAGCTAAAAGATCACTTGACTGCTGTCTTGGTTGGAAAATGATGTATGGACTGGGACACAGGAGAAAAATGTGTAATGTTAGGTTTCACTGAGTGTTTAAAATCGACTATGACTTCAGGGTTCCTGAAATCAGCAGCTAGCTGACTTGGCAGCTCTATCAGCTGATCAAAGTTCAAACACAAGCTTGGAGTGAGCCTCATTAAATACAATACAGTAAATACATAACACACCAATACTATTATTTCTTTCTTTACTGTAACAGACAACTAGATGTATTTCTGTTTATTTCAGATAACTTGAGGATATCAGTCTCTCATAATAAAAGAATACATTTAGAACTAAAAAAAATAGAAATAGGTTTCCCATATTTTGATTTATTGTAGTAAGATCTTATAATCCCATCTCTCCACCTAGTGGAGTCCTGTAGCTCAGTGGTTACAGCACTCGCCTCACAAGCGAGAGACCTAGGTTCGATTCCCAGGTAGGGCAAAACCATGGGCAAGTTTCCTTACTCCACATGCCTAATAATCCTCAAGAAAAAAAACATTAATAAATTGGTCACTTCAATCCACGAGTGTTTGCGAGACACTGCTGTGCACAATTGGCTGCCGTGTTTCGCCCACAAAAATACAGTCAATTCACTTTACAGTATATTCTGTGAAGTGCTTTGAGACATCTAGAAGACGTGAAAGGCACTGTATCAAATGCAAGAATTATTATTATTTAAATCCTTGATTGAACCAAGAGGGAAGATCACATACATTTACGGAAACACAGATAAGCAAAGCACATTTAAATTATTCAAATTTGACATGGCTTTGACTAAACAATATTATAAGAACATAAGAACTACTAGATGAAAAAAAAGCCAAGGTCCATCTAGTTCGCCTTCCACCTTCCTGGCAGTCGCATGCACATACGTCCCGAACTACCTATGTACTTAATCCTTTATAGTTCTTTTTAAAAATAGAAGAGGTAGTATTATAAGTAACATTACATTACTTTGTGAAGCTTTTAAAAAACTGTTTTTGTTATTCACGTGGTTGCAAAACAATACAGTACTATTTATGTTTTTTTTATTAATGCCAGCCAAAGAGAACAATGGCTGTTACTTCAAAGGACTTCCTTAATAGGAAATGGAAGTGGAATTTTCTGACATGATTTTCAATAGAACTTTTGGAAAAATAATGGGTGGGAAATTAAAGTCTGCAGATTGTCTGCTTCAATTACTAGTGGGAACTTTTTTTTTAAGAAGCAGCTTTAGAAATCAAGTGTAAACAGCCCATTGAAACCTGGAGCCAAATATGGATTAAATTGTACTTTGGCAGACTTCACCAATTCTGTGGTGAAGTGAGTTAACATCAACACATTCACTATTCCTCATGTAAATGACTATCTGTTCAGGTGGTTATAAAGATACAGTGGTACTATTTGAACAAAATACAAATAGGTTTTATATATTTTGATTTAGTGCACTATGAAATCATTAATTAAACCAAGAGGGAAGATTACATATACTTACAGGATACACAGATAAGCAAAGCATATTTAAATCATTTGGATTAAAAAAAATTCACTCCCTGACTGTTTGCAGAACATTGCTATGTGAAAAAACGCAGTGT